TACAAATCGGCAATTTCATACTTTAACCCCTATTATAACGCAATTTTTGAGATAATACCATGTTAGTTGTCAAGTGACGTTGATTTTCAGTCAGAACCAATGAAAGTGTGTATAGTGCATCTAAAATAACCTATTCGATATATAAGAGCATGTGCTGATGATAATAAGAGCCTTATTACACTGGCGGCCTCGCCTTCAAATCGCTCATAAATCGCCAGGCGCCCGCAGTGTGATAATACTCTTAGTGTAAATTACGGTTGTGAACATGTTTTAGTGTAATAAACTAAACATTTGAGAAAGGTAACTAAAAACAGTACATGGGGGAGTACATAGGGTAACAAAACAAATAATAATTTCAAACGAAAAACTTTTTCACACCGAAGCAAGATGAAAAGAATAACAAACTTACCAGTATAAGGGAACAGATATTTATCATGCGGATGATGTTTGTCCGAGCCCTCAGACATTCTATCAGTGTAATCGCCGTACTGACTTTCAATTTTCCTTTGATAATCGTTTTTCAGCATAGTCGCTATTCCTGAATCCCTAAAATCTCTTGGAGGATACCCGTCATGTTCTCTGGTCGTCACCGAGTCCCTAAAATCTCTGGATCCGTATACATTTTCCGAGTTTAAGTATTTTGTAGGGCTGTAGCCGTAATCTGACGTCCTTGATGAAAGGTATGTTTTGGAACCGTAGGGATTGGTCGGAAGACGATACATTGTCGGTGATATTGGGTAGTTTGGATCGTATGGCATTTGTTTTTCTGTATCAGAAGGCAGAACTCCATACATTAGTTCGTCTTCCATTACTCCGTATCTGTGGAAATATTTTTATAGTAACTAGATTTAATTTTTAAATCGGTCGTTTATATATTAGTGTCTTCTTTACCGACTTTAAAAAAGGAGGAGGTTCTCATTTTGACTGTACATTTATTTGTATATGTTATGCGATTACTCTTTGTAAACCGATTTCGGCGATTCCTTTTTTTGTTGGAAAGAGGGTGTCTCAGTATTGGTCCCATTTAAATTTGAAGAAAATATTCCATATCTGAATGTGGCAAACTGGGGGATGAATTCGGTTTCGCGCACTTGCTGTTGCTGTATACATTGATATAAATTTGAAAAAAAAAGACATTTCGAAAAACAAAGTGTTCTTCAAAAGCTGATTTTTTATTTACTCAATACTTAACCGTTCGACTACTGCGTACAGGTTAAATCCTCCTAAAGCCTTTGAACACACGAAGTTTGTAATGCTCATTTAAAAATTGCGGGGTTATGCCCTAAACATGGTAATTAAGGATCTATATCTTACAAGATAAAGTTGTGTTTGTTTATAAATCATGTACCTGTTATCCAAAGGCAGTCTAGATGCATCAACACTGGCCACATACGTATCATGAACATTTTCAAGTATGCTCGGTTTGAGTCTATGCCGACTCAATTGATACACATCTGAGGTTAAATCGGGATTCGGAAGAGGGTTTGGAGAAGGCGACGCCATGCCACTGTTGAGGACTTCGTTGTCGGAGCCTGTCTCTTGCGACCAGCGACTCATGTCTCGGTTTGGTTCTGTGGAGAACAAATATTTATTGCTTCTATTTAGTAATGCACTTTTTATCGAATTGTTCAACTGTACTTATGTGATTGTTATAGTTATTTGCTTATTGAAGTGCAAACTGAAGTGTAGAATTAGTTAAAAGGGTGAAACAAGATTTGAAGATAGGGTTACCATTTCGAAATTTGAATTGTCCGGATAAAAAACCTGACATTCGCCAGAAAGTCCGGATTTTTTAGTAACAAAATAATATCGAAATTCTCTTTCTCATGCGGCACCAGAGATAGACAAGCGCCCGGGTAACAAAATTGTCGTAAATCGAATTTTACTACAGAATTGTGACTTTTTATTCTGAAAATTGTTACCCTAAGTCGAAAAATCGGGACAGAAGGTCAAAAGGCCGGACTTGTAATTGAAGAGGTAAGTTACTTATGAACTTAGTGTTCAAAAACCATTAAAAACCTTTAGGCATACATAATATTCCATAGTTATAAGATAAATCAGTTTATTCGAGTTTATAAACCAAATGTGGAAGACAGAGAAATAATGCTTTTTCTTACCTTCTCTTATGTGTGCCGGCCATCTTGGCGATATTACTAATGGAGCACCCTCAGTAATGTTAGGAAGATAGCTTCCTCCAGCACTACTCGTGCCTTGGTCGCCTAAAATAATGCATTTATGAATATTACAACGTTGAGTTTATCACATCAGAACACAACACTTTAAGCCTGTATGGCAAGGTAATTAGTATCAGGACGAATAAAAGAAAAATTATAAATACTTTTGATAAGATGAAATGAGAGATTCTTCTGACAATTTTTGAGTAGTTACGTTAGTTAAGTGAGATTATACAGGTGTGTTTTATATCACCATCCAAATTTTTTCGAGGCATTTAGGTATCATATTATAAAGACTCCATATTTGAAAAATAATTGGTAGGTCACAATAAAATATTCGAAGAATTTTTAATATTGCTTGGGCAATCATCGTCCTACGCTTGACATTCGACATTTCATTGGAAAAACAGGTCGCTCGAAGAAGAACGGTCTATTTCACCAATTATTTCTTTATTACTTTTATGTACTTACGGTTAGCAGACGGTGGATGGCTAGACCTTCTTGTGCTGGTCTCATCATCATCTGAAGAGTGACTAGACGCCAAGTCCAAGCTTCTCGCACTGTCACTGTCGCTATCCGTTGCTTCCGTAGCTTCTTCAGTTTGACCCGTTGCTTCCCGGTCTGTTGTTGCGCGCTTTGGTCGTCGACGGCCTTCGTCTTGCAAGAAAATATTATTTAACCAACAAGAACCCAATAATGCAATGTGAAAAATCGTGTTGAGTAAGAATGTAACTCACTTGTTAGTTGGAAAAACAAATTTAAAATTCTTACCGTCCTTTCTTGTTTGTAGGGAAGAATCAAATCCTCTTAAGTACGCTGGCATATCACTTGCACTGGTATTATAGTTCGATGTTGATGTGCTTGTGTGACGAAGTTGGCCGTCACTGCGACTGAATCAACAATTGAAATCACAATACGAAAAAGGAGCCCCACGTTGGGCGTCAATAATATATAATTGGCGACGATTATTTTGTTAAGATGATAGGGTAGGGTACCTGTAAGGACTAGAGCTGGTTTTTGTCGTAGACCTCGATGTAGTAGATGATGCAGATATTCCGATGTTACGCATTTGACGTCCAGGTTCACTGCTGCTATGGTAGGCCAGTGAAGATCTGGAATTGTTTTTTATGTCATGAGTGTTTGAGTGATTCGGTAATCGACAGGCATATCCAATGTAATGCCACTCAGAGCTTTAAATCACAAAGATCTGAGGGGCACTGCTACTGCACCTGTCGCCCTGGTGACAAGTCCCATGTGTCTGTAAATTTACCAGTACCCTTATCCTTCAAAACCGAAAGTAATGCTCATATTACTGCTTGGCGGTAGAAATAGGTTAGGCGGCAGTACTTCCTCAATAAGTATTGTTAATATACAATTATAAAGTTTCTTGCGTACGCATTTACTTCCTGTTATTTTGGTGATATTATTAGCATGTCTTACCGATTGATTTGAGACAAATTTTGTGCGCTACTGCTGACAATAATAGAAGTGTCGGCCAAAGGAACTTTTTTGCCCATGCATCGCAGAATTGTCCTGCAAAAGATAATAAATTAATTTATGAAGGGCTTAAGAAAGAGAACTAATACTTATTTAGATGAGATGAGTTGAGATTTACCTTTTCAAATTGTCCCTAACGCGAATATTAAAGGCGATGTATCCGAGGCTGGCGGCGGCAGCATGTAAAGTAACGGCGCCGGCTAGTACAGAGCTTAGCATATTGCGGCGATCGCCAGACTCGCTGCCTAGTATGAGGCCACTGGCCCACGCCACGCAAAGCAGGGGTAGACAGATTATGCTTACTGCCAGTAACATCCTGAAAGAAGAGTTATCTATAATGCACCTTTCTTAGGGTCGTATTCTAGAACTCTACTCAATGCTCAAGTCAGGATTTGAGCAGACTTGAGTATGATTTCAAGCACTGGAAATACGACCCTAATGGCAAGGACTTGAGTATGATTTTTAGTGCTCACTGCAATACTCTAGTCCTGACTTGAGTATTGAGTAGAGTTCTGGAATACGACCCTTAAACCATCGTGCATCTCGGGGACATAAATTCACATTCGAAAAGGTGAGACTTCGTATATTTACTAGATCTTGTGAAGACCCGATGATTCCAAGGTCGTTACAAGAATGTCGTGCGATTGGTAGAGCGAGAGAGAGCATCGAAATTCGAATAGCCAATTTTGAATTTGAAATGAAGCGGAAACGCTGCTACTGCTAAGATTACATATCAAAGGAAGAGTAATTTATAGGATAATATTGTAGTAACATATCTGTCAATCAATGTCAGCATATAAAAATATTAAATACGAAATAAATATGTTTATAAAGTGAAATTGATGAAATAGTACGTAATTAGCATTCGAAAAACAAATAGCAAAATTCAGACATACTATCAGTACGATAGAATATGCCAAGGTTGGGAGATCAGACATGAAAAGTTAGTAAATTGTCAAAGTGCGAGAAATAACTTACAATAGCAAATTTAAGTAATTCAGACACTAATTTTTGCATTGACCTACAAATATTATAGTAAATATTAGTTGGAACTCTTTCAGGAATCAGGAAAAGTAAGGGCGTTTCCTAGAAAACGTATAATGAGAGAGATGAAGATGATAGGGGTCCGTAGTTTTGCAACACTATAAATTGTGAAGTAATTCACGCGGTCGCTAGCGACAACTGTCACAGTAAACTCGTAGTAGAGACGCAGATGTCTGTTTTGCATGTAATCAAACGTCAAATCAAAGTCTCGAGAAATATTTGTATGTCATACATCTATTTCTCTCCTTAGTTTGGGTGTAATTTGTAGTTGTCTATGTGTGTGTCCATGGCACCCAAGTTTCCCTAGTGCGGGGCCATTAGTGTGTGCGTTATTGTATTATTATTCAAAGTGTTTTATTACAGTAAAATAAAGCTTATCTGTATGATAAATATCAATATAAATGTCCTGCCGGGAAACGAACCATGGGGACCTAATATGAACTCTTATTTCCACGCAGTTGACGCCGTAAACTGCCTTGTAATTAATTTCGTATTATGAACTGGTAATACCAGCCAGTCAGCGGACGCGTGACGCTAGGCTGTCTTCTGCCCGAAGTTTGGCTAGCAATATCGTATTACAAACGTTATTTTGACATTTTGTACACGGTTGATCTGTCAAAACGTAACAGCAATAAACCATTCAGTTCACAGTGTCTTGGCGTAGCTTTTATTGAATTGTTTTGTGCATAATTTTATAAATAATTATTATAATTTTGAGTTTATATATTTTTAGGCAATCGTTGCATCATGTGTGATGAATACAAAATGTTTGAGTATTTCGAAAGTGATGCTTTACACGATAATAATATGGAAAAAATCCAAAGAAGACAACTGCGAGATCGTAGTGATCCGTTTGAAATTATGAAAAGATACCGGCTCAGCAAAGATATGCTCCACAATCTTTGCGATGAACTTAAACCTCACATGTCGAGGCCTACAAAATCCACCGATTTATTGGTTGAGACTAAGGTTATTTTTCACTAAAGCCGAGTATAATTTCTTACAATTTAATTTACAGTCAAATATTCTTAAAATGTTATTGCCTTGTTTTCAACAAACTACAAAATAAACATTTACCCGCGGAATTTCGTCGACGTTTGACGCCGTCGTTCGGAAACTGAATTTGAGCTTTTCTCTTATTTACAAAAATTAAAATATAGTGTATTGATTTTATTATAATATAGTGTTTTTATTATTATTATTATTATATAGTGTCTTTATTTATTTTCGTACATGAATAATACGTATCTATTATTTTTCTCTTAAACTAAGTGACAAATATAACACCGTAACTTACCGGCAAATATTCATCCATGTTTTTGAACGTTACATTAAAAAGCACGAGTTAGTCAAGTCCCAGTCATAGACAAAATAACCAGCGAGAAGTCAGCAAAAAATATGTATGTCGTAATACGAATTTTATCCAGTCAGTTTTTGGGCATAAAAAGAATTGCCTGGAACTTGCATGGTTTTTTAAAAGTTCATAATACGCCCCGACCTCTGATGACACTATGCCGATAGGCACACACCCTGTGTTAGTAAATATTTAATTTTCTACGAAGATGTTTCGATGAGTACCTTACATTCTAAGACATGATACTTTTATGTCATAATAAATGTGTCAGTAATATGCGTTTTCATGGGAAAGTTTGTATGAATGTACCTCAAGTTGCCAAATCCAGTCACATGGTCACGTACAGTGAAGGCGGCGCGGGTGGCGCCTGCGAGGAATATAAACGCCGCCGTGGCGTACACTGCCGCGGGGATCACGACCCACCATACCACCGGCTCATGGCAGCTCACCCAGCAACTACAAAATACGGTTTTTCATAGTTCAATGATATGGTATAGTGTAACGTGCTGGTATCCGCAATTTGCCAAGCATCTAAATTGCGTGTAGTTCAATTATATACACGATGTTATAGTTTCAACATCAAGTACAGTAACATTACAGTTTTAAAGTCCTAACTTCGTAGCTATTTAAAAATGACAGTGGTGAAATTACAGGCACATGCTACTAGTCAACTTATGTCTCAGGGTGATGGGCGCAGTGCCCCTCACGTCTTTGTGATTTAAAGCTCTGAGTGGCATTGCAACTGTTAAAGACAGACGTGTTGCTTACCACCAGGCGCATGACTTGTTCGTCCTGTCATTTGATATTATAAAAAAAAATGAGTTGTACTACATGGACCAATGATTCAAGAGGGCTACTACTCGCGATACCAAAGTAGTCGGGTATTTAGTACCTATTCGTACACCAGATGTCGCGACGAGTACGAATATAGCTATTTTTGTAACAATTTTTTTATTTTATTATAAGTAACTTTTCCTTTTATAATTAATCAATAAAATCATAGCTTATAAACGCGACTTGATTAAATAAGATTAAACGTCCTTTCGAGTTTTTCGAATTATGTGCTTACTTTTGATGACGACGAAAAACATCGTGAGGATACCTACATAAGTTTAGATATTAAATCTTCTCCTTGGTGTGCTCTGTTCACGCAATAAAGATACTTATAGAGGTTGCTAGAATTTTTTATTTATATATATTTTTTTGCTTGCTAGCTTACAACTACTACTTCCACGTAAACAATCACATGCCATTTAAAAGCTTCCACAAATGGTTAGAACACAAACGAAAGCACATACGAGAACACAAAAACTGCCATATCAGTCACTCAATAAGAAGTTCTAAGGTAATCGCAATAGTTTTTATACTCTTAACATCATTACAGAAAAGATCGATGCGATCGTCATTATTGAGTTCATTAAATAATGCTAATGATCTATGTAGATAACCATTAATTCTAAAATTATAACGACTAATGAACTTTGAGTACAAAATTGCTGAGGAGCTCTTTGTAACTATTTTTTTTATTTTATTATAAGCAACTTTCCCTTATATAATTAATCAATAATCAGTCCTATTCTATGCTATGTTCAGAAAAAAAAACTGGCATCAGTTATACTTCTTCGCAGATACAAATGTATATATAGCACATTTGGTCCTTTAAAGCCGGGTACTCATTAGCGAGCTGTAACTGTAACGTGCAGATACAGTGACGAGGTTCTAGTGTGTATGCTTGAAACAGTCTTCAATTAGACGGCTCCCTGCGAACCGCACGCGTAACGCTCGCGGCAAGCTCGCGAACCACATACACACTATGATTCTTGGTTACATAACATGCAACGGTTACAGTTACAGCTCGCTAGTGAGTACCCGGCTTTAAGGGTCTATACTATCTCAGCTCGAATTCAACATTTTCCCGTACTAATACGTTTCATTTTCCTGGGGTCGAGTGGCAGGGACACTGGCTTTATTTCAGAATAATTTTTTTTACAAACGAAATTAAAGCCATTAGATAAATGCATATCGTATAGTATCCGTGTTCTATTTACTTCAGTTGATGTAAAAAAAAAAAACCATTGGTATTATGTTCTCATCGAATACAGCGATTTTCTTGTAAAATTTCGAGGTAAGTTTGTGATTTCTTTTCTATCGTGAAAATTTTTAGGAATCGTATTTTCACACCGTATAGTAATCAGGTATATCTTCAATTTTACTGTATATTTTTTTCCAAAGTGAATGATTCAACACTTTCACTGTTATGAGGAATCAACTAAAGCCATTTGAGGTAGTATAGACCCTTAATCTCGATATACCTATTTTCAAACTCGTTAGAGACAAACACAATACAGTGAAAACAATTTGTCTATATTTCACTTACAACAAAGCGTTTCCGTATTGCTGCTGATGATGTCCAGCGGCTAAAGCGAGCGCCACAGCTGGGGCAGCATACGCCGCGGCCAAATGCGCAGCTAAACCTCCGTGGTTCACATCTCTCAACTCCCGGACTAGACGCCGCAGCTGCCACGCGTCGCATGCTGACCAACCCAGTGCCGCCACCCACCAGTAGTGTAGAGACATAGCTATGAGCTTGCATGCGAACTGAAAAGAATTCGACTTATCGTATTATTAGTACCAGTATTACATATAAATAACAATAGACCCCAAGTGGCGTGTCATGAGTCTAGTGGTAAGCGACACGCTTGTTGCAGTTGCAGTGCCACTCAGAGCTTTAATCGCAAAGATTTTAGAGGTACTGGCTCGGCGCCCATCACCATGAGATACAAAGTTAACAAGTCCCATTTGCATGTGGTTTCATTATTACGCCCTCTTTTTTCAGATTGCTGCTTGGCGGCAGAAATAGAGACGGTGGCAGTAACTCTTTCACAAGGAGCTAATACTGTTATTGAAGTACAGTAAATATGGGAAAAATAGAAAGGGACATTCAGTAGGTTTTTTTTTAAACCTGATATGACACTGTCCTTCTTTGCCCATTCTATTACCATTTTGACTCGTAGTAGTAATACGGGTAATTTACTAAACAGTCCGGTAGTAGCATGGGCTATTTTATGGGCTATTTTAGTTGCTGTTGTTAGTCAATAGGTGCAAATTCTATTTTTTTTAATGTCCTTTTGTTAGTTTTACAAAACTATGTATAGCAGGGATTAAATAGAGAGACACCTTTATATTCGATTTATTTTTCAACCTGAAACTTGGTACGATTTCTTCAAAGCTTTGAAGACGGATTTTTTTAACATAAATCTATATTCCTTAACAAACAACAACGTCACAAGTAGGTTATTAAATGTATGTGTTTGCCAAACTTAAATGAGTGAGCAGGTCGTACACTTTCCAAAAACCCTGTTTGTTCAATATTTTTTGTCACACAATAAAAAATAATTGTAGGAAAATAAGAATTGCCTCGACGTTCGTACTTAGACTATATTATATAAGTGATAAGATACTAGATACAATTTCAAGCTTACCTCATTCTGCACAAGCGAAGAGCGTGCCTTCAAAGCGATTAAATACAACAACTCAGCCATAAATACGCAAAATATTAGATGCTTATGGATAGAGTTGGACACAGTGGCTGCTCCACCACGCATGAGGCTTAGTGCTGTCCAGGTCATCAGAAGTAGTGGTAGTGATAGACTGAACGCCGTGTACGATGTTACAGACTCTAGTAATGATGGTTCGGGGATGAACTGAGAAAAAAATAGAGTTGTTACGCCCGGTTAACAAAGAATGTTATGACAAAGTAATGTAAAATATTTTATTTTATGTTAAAGACTATTTCTATATACGCATACTATACATATTAGTTTATAACATTTATATCAAATATGCACCGGAAAACCCAAATGTTTGTCACAAATGTAAATTTTTTTTTTGTGAACTTCAACCAACTTTTTCGTAAAATGCGTATGAGCATCAGCTCAAGTGTGGTCGCTTTATTTTTTTACACTTAATATAGATTTTGTTTTGTGAATGTTTGGAGATGTCGCGTGCTGTATTATGTCATAAATGTAAATCCAGTTGCTGAGCACAGGTTTTCCGATATCATATGTATTCGCTTACCTCAATGTCAACTTCATCGACCAGCACGGCAAAAGTCGACAGATGGTTGCAGGTGCAGTTGATTAGCAACGGCTCATTCGAGTATGGGGACCAGTCGTAGTCGATCTCTGTATGGCAACCTACGCGTGACCATTCGCCAGTTCTGTTTGAGAGATAATAATTTAGAGCGGCAGTATCATTTCATTTCATTTATTCATTACTGCTGCATATACAATTTGTGTAAAATTGATCTTAAAAACTATCACAGTGACAGTGCATGTATCCTGTTGGGGGCTTTGCAATTTATAACGTTTGAATGTATAATATTTATATTATTAACAAGACATTAATACATGATTTAAAAATTAAAATAAACAGTTACGAACAATTCAACATTAATTCTAGGTCTTTATAATTAAGAATTTTATTTTCATTTAAGCACGTAGATTAGATCAGTAAAATAGGCATTAATAACATAAATCGAGGTCTTATCATTAAAAAAAATCATTAACTGAGTAATAAAATTAGTAAAGAAAGATTTATCTTTTTGTTCATCTTTAATGCGCAGTGGTATTGGATTATATATTTTAACTGCTCTATAGTAGTATATTACTTGTAAACAATTCCCATCTTAGTTTCTTTTATACGCTCCGACCATAGTAAGGTAAGAATGGTAACTCCATTCATACGTAGCTGCGCGGCTTATATGTGTGCACGCCTGCTGCGTGCTGTGTACGGACGCACATATTCAGATAATAATGAAAGGCGCGTGTGACGACCGGCGTTATGCAATGCGAGTGCGTCGCGAGATTATGCGAATGCATGCGTTCGTACACGACATGCGGTGGGCGCGCACACATACAAACCGCGCTGCTACGTTTGTATGAAATTGCTACATATAATTGCTCATCTTATTATAAGTATGCGTTTATACTACATAGTATCTACGCGTAGATAGACATTCATAAGTGGTAGGGCTAAGAATAAACCGAAACAGCCTAATAACAATAATTCAAAAATTACTTTAATAAACATATTAATTCCGTTGTTTTTCTTTTCAGAATGTAAATATTAAATTTGAGAATCATAAAAGTTTTCCGGTAATTATTAGTACGTGGAAGAGCGCCAAATAACCCAGTTGTTGAAGTCAGATAAATTTATATTAGATAAGAAACGATCTGAATAGATGAGATCTTCAACACAGAAATCTTAATGCTTTGAAATGTAAATTGTGAAAAAAATAAAATTAACATACCCTCTCAAACTTGACCAATGAACACACTGCGGATTAGTTCTTGAACCGAAAGTCTCTTTATTAATATCCAACCACATCTGTAATCGAACAGGCTTCTTCAATCTTACACCACTCATGGTTTTATACACCAACTTCTTTTTTCCTGTTTGTTTGGTGGAATTAATAGAATCTTTTTTCTCCAGTTCCATGATTAAGGCCATGACTTTTGGACCTTCGTCGTTTTCTAATTTATCTGTAAATGTGGAGTCGTTTTCTTGGATATTGGTGTAGACTTTTTCTTGCTTTTTGAATGCTGGTTGTATTACAACTGGCCCGTGATGTTCGTGATGGTCTTCGTCGGCTGCCCAGGGTTTTTGGAGGTTGTTGTTTATGTGGTTTTGTTTAGGTTGGTGGTGACCTTTGTTGGCGTAGGTTATCCCTGGAAATAAGATAAGAAATAAGATTGTAGCGTCTAGATTGTAGGTCTCCTTGGGTATTAGATGGTAGCTTTACATAACTAACTCCTTTGCTAGGCGTGGCAGTTATTTAAAATATGAGCCTTTATGTACGACGTTTGTAATGGTTCTTTTTTCAAAACGTAACATTGAGTTGTTTCAATGGGAAGATTTGGCACTGCGCCCTGAATGCCGGGGGATTATGAAGAGGCGAGTCCACGAGTTTGAAGAGCAGCATAACGCTGAACTTGATGCAAAACATGACGAGATAAAGGCCTGTCCACTCTCCATCAGTAATTATTATTAAGTTGGCGGTATAGTCACGTGCCCTCAATGTACACGAGTGAGTGTTCGCCGCGAAGCTTGGCTACATTAGTCATCTTCGAGCGCATCAGCGCTAACCTTACGAGGAGTCAAAGTGGTTGCTATGACCGAATACTTTTTTACACACTAAGGACAAGAAATAAAAACTTTACCTTCAATATCCTCCATAACATTTTCCAAAGAGTTATCCTCACTAGTTTCCTTAGATTCCTTCATCCACACGTATTCAGGTACAAACAATGCAACTTGCAATATAGGAGAACCTAAAGTAATATTCACGCCCCATCGTCTCGTGACAGACTCGTCGAAACGTAATGGCATCAGTTGAGATGTATTTCTGGAGTATTGCAGGTAGGAAAACACGGCACGAGATTCGTAGTTTGTTTCTAAAGTTTCTGTAAAACAAAAATACAAATCGTAGTTTTTTTTTGCGCCAGATGGTAGCTACAAACCTGTCCATAACAACATTTTTTATGTTGAATATCGTGATGTTTTTACTACCATGATATTCTTTTATTTTGTTTTTGGGAAAATACTCCTATTGTTAACATGACATTATTAAATACTATTATTGAAACATGTTTCACTTATTTCTTAATCGTAAAGTGAAATCTTAAGTAGATCACTGGTATTTTTCTAGTTAAACTGTTATGTATACTTTAATATTTGTATTTTTATTTGTATTTGCCACCTCATTAGATCATTTTGAGAGGTTAGTAAGTTTTTGTTTCTTAGGTGTGGTCTGTCATTGATATTTTATAAGTGTTGTGATTCCCTGTTGCTTGAAAATATACATTAACATAGGTATTGAGATGTATATTGTATTGAATATTGTGTATGGTCTGTTATAATAACCAATGGTCGGAAAAATTGAAATAGTTTAAACATCAACGTGTTGTTCTTAGCGAATGGCTCGCTGACAGCCTTATTGCCGTGCCGTCAATGTGAACGACAATATGCAGGGTACGCGGTGTGGTATCTAAAGCTAGGGAGAGGCGGAGAGTGACCATTCTCTATATACTTACTCTATATACTTTTGTGTTTTCTGCTTTGGTAAAAGGTCAATTTTCTACTGCATTATTTTACATGGCACCCTTAGAATTACTTTAGCATCCAACTTAGATTTCCTAGGTTAGGAGTTTTGTCTTATGATACAGTAAAACCAAAAGTAATTAATTAATATTTGATGGTTTTAGCAACACAATGTCGCTCCTTCTAGCTATATCAGCACATGTATCTATGTATGTGGAACACCTTTTTCCGACCATTTTGGTGATAACAAATAAATACATTCATCTTTTTAACTTTCGCGTCGAGGCGAAATTGACACGCTCTGAAGCCACTTGTAACTTCCAATTGGCATTGCCAGGTATTTTTCTTCATGGCAGCTTACCCCACTCCAATATTACACCAATAACGTATTAAAATATGGCTTACCTTGCACATTATTATTGTTAATCCCAAGCAAATCCAACGGCAATAGTACTCTCGTGTGTTTATCAAACTTGTTCTTGTTCTTCACGTAATTATTATACTTCGGGAATGATACAGTAGGGCTAGAAGGCTTCTTGCTTTTCTTGCCATTGCTATAGTACCCAGGTTGTATGGGAGAGTGTATAAAGGAAGAAGTGTCTGGTAGAACAACGCGTTCCGTAGTGTATGATGGGGTGTCCGTGTTATATCTGTTCAGTTGTGTTGGTTCAAATCCATAGATTGATTCTGCTGTTACAATGTCTACGCCGATTACTGAAAAAAATATGCTATAGTAATAAAAAAAATTAAAGAACTAACCCATGCGAAGTCCGCGGGTGGGTAACTTTCAGGTTAGTTTTCTCCACCTAATTTCGGTGGCAATCTTTATTATTAAGTATAGAAAATTATCATTAAATATTAAATAATATTTTAGGGCACTACACTCGAATATATATAATACTTCATGATAATTCTACAATTTCGTAAGTTTCAGACATCTAATTATGATTCATACTATACAGTACCTTCTCTCCGTGTCCCTTAGCCGTAGGACGACCTGTATATTATATATAATGATAATCTATATAACATACATACCCATGTCGCTGGTAACTATCTCGAAGGGACTTGTATATGTATCATGTTGACTCTCGGCCAGTATAGCGATATATTTGTCGAACTTCTGTAATAAATGGTCGACGCCGTGTCCAGTTATATCCTTGATACGCTTCCACTCTTTCTGGTACTGTGAGTTCAGGATTGTGTTTGCTGATTTTATTATGTTCTGAAATGAAATAAACATTATGGTCTCCGCCTGCACAAATAAAATTTCGTATGACTTTAGGGGTAGTAGTGTTTAAAAGATTTCTATCGTAAATAAGAATAGGGTTAAGAACCACTTTTAAGATTCGAAAGTTACAGCTAACAAAAAACATGATACTGTATAAGACAAGTAGTATAACTCTATAATATGGAGTAACACTAGTTATATTATAACGTCTGCCGCGCGCCGTATACGAACGAATGTACACATTCGCACACACACACACTCGCGCTGCACAACGCGTGTCGCCCCGTTAATTTCATTCTAAGAGCACCCGCCCTTTGGGCCACTAGTGGCGGCCACTAAACGCGACCACAAAACTTTTTATACATTTTATATAGCATTGGCGCAAACTGAGCGTTCGAGTGGTCGCGTCCAAGCTACAAGCTGCGAGAGTGGCCCGCGCTCGCTACTTACGTCACTCGCCTCTCGCGGACACTCGGCCACATTCGCCAGCTTCTCCCCGTCCGCCATATTGGTGCCGTTTTAGGAACTTAGTCGCTAGATCTAGGGAATTTTATAAATTTTTACTGAGCAAAAATTTGGTTTCAGCGAGAAAAAAATATTTAGCGACTTCTAGAGTCTTTTTTGACCCGTATTATTTTTTTAAATATAAAAATTGTAACCTGTCAATCAAACTAAATCTAAAGTTAAAAATAAATTTATATTCGAGTGTTCTATGTTCATGACTAACGCTGGTAACACCAATGTAGAATTCGGCAAAATGGATGATTTCTAGTCATACTAGTAGCCGCGACCGGTGACCGCATCCAGCCACTAGTGGCCTCATCTAGCCACTAGTGGTTGCGACTGGTGGCCGCGTCTAGAGCCTTGACTCAGTCACTAGTGGTCGCGTTTAGTGGCTGCGACTAGTGGCAGTGGCAGTGGGTGGGAGCAGAATTGATGCTCCACCGACAACAGTATAACTCTTAAGTTTGATGAGTAGACTTGTGGCGACACCGTTGCACCATCCACAATTTGGAACGTGGCTAGCGCATATCTCGGAAGTTGTAACTAGTCTATAATCTCTCCATCGGAGAGATTATATTATAAGAATTTCTGTGTCACCGCTGTGTGATAACTTCTGTGTAGTAGTGCTAACGAACACGCTAATAAACCGGTGGTGTTACTCAGAAGTTTTTTATTTCTTCTAACCCACCGGGATGAGGGCGGGACAATCTCCCAACAGCGTTCTCCTCAGACTCTCCAGCATTTCATTTCTATTTAATAACCATACTCCCATAATCGAGATACCAATTTGCAATGCTGATATAAAAATATATCAATATGTAAGTACTGCATTTGACAAAGCTTATTTTAATATAGCCCGAGAATACTGTGATGAATAGCTTAATATTTAGCCGACTTCAAAAAAAGGAGGAGGTTGTACGTTCGGCTGTATGCATGTTTTATGTATGTTTTCAGATTTTTCCGTCAATTGTAGACCGATTTTGAAAATTCTATCTTTGTTTGAAAGGGTGCACTCTCGTGGTGGTGCCATTGTCACCAAGTCAGATTCTGATGAGAGGATCCATGGAAGTCGAGGAAAATCCTCTAATTTTATAGGCATGTCAATGGTACATACCGATTTCTCCACCAATTGTGGAGCATTTTTGAAAATTCTTTTTTGTTTGAAAGGGTATACTCTCGAAAAGGTATACCACCGTCCCTGATGCCGACGATGCTGTTGTAGGTTCATTTCGGTTATCACAAATTAAAAAAATATTTTCCGCGAATAAAAGTCGACTTTTCACTCACAATACATGTAATCAACAAATCACCGTCATCATGACAATCAGAAAAAAAAATCATACAATGTACAATGGAGTCCGTAACAGTCCCATTGTCATCAAGAAGTCAGAATCTAATGAGGCGATCCCATGGAAATCTAAAAAGTCGATAAGAAAACTTTTGAAGTCGGTTTTTTTCAATGATTCAAATTATGTTTACAACCTGTAGGTACAACTAAAGTAATAATGTGACAACTCTACACTCCTAGCGAAGGGCATTGACGAGCCGAACAGGCGGGAGTTGCATTACTTGTCTTATGCTATTAGAATATAACTTTACTTACCCGAACATAGTCTTTATCCTGACTATGTGTCAAGTTTAGCCCCGCTTGGCGCAATTCATAGTTCATGAGTTCGTGTAAAATTCCGTTAGCGACCATTACATCAGCGCCGTACAACTTTGGCGTGTTAGCACACGCGGCTGTGAGATCCTCAGCTAAACGTACACCGACGAATGTATTTACAGATAACTCGCCTGTTTCTATTTTAAGAAGCTGGAATGGAGAACACTTTAAATTATCCACACGGTTTAAGTATATTGAGTCTGATTTGGAAGAACTAACTAAGGTCACCGTAGTTTTCAGATTAAATAGATTAAACCAAATTAACAGATTAGGTGTTACTTTCCGGAAATCTGTGTTATAAAAAAAATTGTTAGCCTTTGTCCTCGTCTCACAATGATATGTAAGTTCCCGTGCATTGACAGATGTACGCAGGTTTCCTCGCTAGTTTTTCTTCACCGAAAAGCTCATGGTAAATTTCAAATTAAATCTTGAACATAAATTCCGAAAAACTCGGAGGTGCAAGTCAGGTTTCGTACAGAGGACCCTTTGTTTGAGAAGTGGTTAGTCAAACCATCAGGATACCACGGCTTCTTATGTTAATAAAAATGAAAATAAATTGCTTTGTTACTCTTCTGCGAACCCAGTGAATTGTAAATCGTGCAAAATAGCTGAATGTTGAATATTTTTTCATGGCGTTAATTTTACCACTCTCATAACAGAAACGCAACTACAATCACAAACACCACAACCAAAAATATACACGATATGTGTTTCGCCTCTCTCATTATGAGGAGTTGTTTATTGTTCGACGGCCAAAGAATGCGGTCTTTCAGAACGGTCGGTCATATTTAGTGACAATTTAATTATTTCGAAAAAATAAGTTTCGATTCATACGAACATAGGACATCGTAATAGTCCACTATATCCTAAGCAAGTTATATTGAATTATGTACGTACCTGTTTACTGAGTTGATAGAAGGTGGAAGTGGTACAATTGAACATATCAGGTTCCTGCCAGGGCACCACTTGACTCTCGTCACACATTCTCGTCGCTTTGCCACTTGTGCCTATAATTCATTATTATGATTAACACATAAAAAATGAATGAATAAACTATAATCGTAAACACTGAATCATAATGTATTTTTTTAGATTACAAGAAAGATTATAGACTTATTAATCTGATTCTGTTCAGTCTGTAATGTAATGTATTTAAATCAGCTTTTATATAAATTATGGTTAATAAAAATGGAAGTAAATTAATTTGCTACTCCGCGAACCCAGTGAAGGTTAAATCGTGCAAAATAGCTGCGCTTGTGTTAAACATTTTTTCTTGCAGTTAATTATCCCACCCTCCCTCCATAAGCATAAGCACCCAGACAGGTCCAATTTCGCTAAACATTTGTTAGAAACAAATAATATTTTACCAGATTCCCATTCTTATGAAATATTACATTTTTACGAAACAGTACTACGTCTTGGTGTCTTAGAACAGATGGAAATAATTAGATACAACAACAGGGATTTTATAATTAATGAACAATTTAATTTTGTATCATCACCTTTATTTCCGTTTTTATTAACATGGACTTCCGCAAAGTAACGCCTGAATCTATTAATTACATAAATTATGGTTGCTGTACACTTTTGGTTCAAACTATCATTTATACAGGGTTTATTTTTAATCAATAGATATCTCTGAACGTGGCAATCATGTTATTGAAACATCTTTTACTCTTACTTATTTCAGCTATTTATATTTTCCAAGAGTCATAGACTAAAAACTATTGATTTTTATGTTCGGATAGCACATTTAGAATTTTATGTACATTTTAAGAAATAAATACACTGTATATTTCCATAACTTTTTGCTAAATTAGTAGTGTCTATGTCGAAACCAAGTCAATACTCTGTAATGCGGCCTTAATATTCTTACTAACGTCTGAGTTTTACTTACGGTACTTAAAAAGTTCAGAGTACTAAAAAAGACAAATACAAAACTCACCTGAAGGACAATCTGTAATAGCTTCAACGCCAAACTTGGTACGCGGCCACCAAACTCCATTTGAGAATGAACGAGGGCACCCATCATATATAACTGTAGAAAAAATATTTTAAATATTTTATTTCATATATATTTAATTTCAAAGTGTCAGAGAAAGAAAATCTTCGTCAGGAAACCTGCAAGTTCAAAAACTATTCTTTTTTAATTACACTAAGTGACGGGACGAACAAGTCGTGCGCCTAGTGGAGAGCGACACGCCTGCCCATTGGAGTTGCAGTGCCACGCACAGCTTTAAATTGCAAAGATCTGAGGAGCACCGACACATGCGCCTATCAACCTGAGACATAAGTTGACAAGTACCATGATTTGCACGACGCGCTTCTACATTTATACGGCGAACGGCTATGGAGTGGAATTCCTTGCCTCCAGACGTGTTCCCTGAACGTTATGACTTGGACCTATTCAAGGCGAGAGAGAATAGGAATTATTTTGATGTGCATGCTCCATCGTCAACCTCATCGTTACTTTCCATCAGGTGAAATGGAGGTCAAATGCGCACTTACATATACATAAAAAAAGTGCCTGTAATTTCAACAGCAGCCTTAACCTTCAAAACCGGAACGCAGTGCTCATATTACTGCTTGGCGGCAGAAATAGGTAAGGTAGCAGTACTTCCCTGGACGAACTCTTACACAACGATTCTATCTTCCCACTGAGGGGAACAATGACTTTTGACCAATATTAGAGAAGATTATTTATGGGTGAATTTAATTTTAATCATATACCTTCGCAACCAGTATTAGGAGCTACTTCAGCATAAACATTGGCGCAAGAGTCGCAGGCCCTGCCGATGACACCGCCACGGCAGTAGCACTGCCCGCTGTCCACTTCGCACGAGCTGTTCAGTGAGCCGGCTGCGTAGCACTGGCAGGGGAGACAGTCGTGCGAGCCCGCTGGTTTGTAATGGTTTTCCTGCTCAAAAACACTTATGAACGGATTTGTTTTTTAATCATTAAAAATAAGTATGTGTGTTAAAAATATGTAAATATGCTTAGGGATATATACGTCGCGCGTCCTGTTTGTTTTGAGTAAAGCATAATAGTGTGTTAATACGCAAGAGTGTAACTTTATTATATAGTTTACTGTACTATGTGTATGAAGATGAACTTTTTAGAATGTACCATTCAATTAAAAGACACAAAAATTTTTGAAAAACAAAAGTAATAAAAAAATATTTAGAATAAGTAATTCATAAAAAAATATTCTGTGATAATGAAACTTGATAAAAGTTTTGTTTATTTAAATTTATCTTCCTGTGCCAATCGTACCAAAATAGGTAAAAATTTAGAAGCTTTCCCTCTTATAACTATGGTATATACATTTGGAAGCATATACCTAATATGGCACTTTAACAGTTTCAAAATCTATAGGACACCACTCACTGTTGATATACATCATGGATCAATGACTCAAGAGGGCTGCTAATGGCGATACATGACAGCGTAGCTGGGTATTTAGTACCTATTGGTGCACCAGATGACGACGAGTACCAAATAGCTATTTTGTGTTTTACATTGATAAGCTGCAAATAATATCATTGAGTTGTAATTTATCAAAACTACTCTAATTTCTAGTGATAACAAACTAATCAACTAGATGGCGCTTATTGAACAGATATTTGGGGATAGTATCGGCTATTCTGTTATTTAGTTTAGGATTACCGCCATCTACCCATATTAGCGTTAATTTATAAATTACTTGTGTGACACACAATGGCGTCTATTGACACGCATATTTGTGAAAGTTCAGAAAATAATATTAGCTCAGGATCAAATTTAAATAATATTACAAAGAAAAAAACTGACTTCTTTTAGGAGTAATTCATATTATAGAGGAATCAACTGAAATCCAAGATCTGCGCCATCTTGATATAAGACGGAATTTTGACCTTTTTCAGAGTTACGATCTGTAAGTATGGAGATTAGCAGACCTCTCGTATTATTGTCCATAATAAACAGCAATAGTGGGTATAAATGCTTGGGTGTTTATTTGTTAGCATTAAGAGACCACACCCCACACCCCCACATCAGCGTCTTTCGAGCGTCAGTGTCATGCCAACGTATGCACAGCGTCGAAACGACGTTCGCAACGTCAGCGCGGTGACAGTGAGCGACTGCTGGGAGCATACTTTCGTTCTCCGTCCAACATCCGTCCGAAACAATTATTGTGAAATAAGTAATTACTAGACCAAATCAAAAGACAATCTCAAATATGATGCTTCCTTAGTATCATGCGTCGGGAAACGGGAGTAAACCGTCTAAATAGTGCCGAACGTCGGGTGTAGGAACACCACGTTGTTGTCGTGACGTGACGTCGTGTCGACGCTGTGCTTGCGTTGGCTCGACGCTGACGCTAGAAAGACGCTTGTGTTCGGGTCTCTAACCACACTTAATACCTTGTTTTTTTTTCTTAATATTTTCTTTCTTGTTTCTCATTTAATACCCACCTTACAGTGACAAAGCCCTGTGTTCCTTTCGCAATATGGATGGTATCCGTGTATAGTGTCACAATCGCATGGTCCACAGGCTTTTACTCCCCACCATCCTCCTGGACACTCTTCTATTCCTTCTTCAATACATCCGTTCGCTTAAATACATAAGGCTAAGTTTAACACAAGTATTGTGATATTGATAATTACACAAAATCTTGGAAGAGAAAAGTAATTTAAAGTGATAGTGTTGTGGACGAACAAGTCGTGCCCCTATTCCTAAAAAACAAACTCGTCTTTAATAGCAAGCCAAAGGTACCTATGTTAACACAGTATTATACTTACATGTCAGCAAATATCGGTCATCACACTGACATCGGTACCCTTTAGAAGATTCTTCAGGTATACACTTGGCGTATTCGCCGCAAGGGTTCAAATCACACGCCGCCAGGCAATGAGGGCCTATGCGACCGGTCTCACACACGCATTCTGTTGCGTCCCATGTTGCTACACAATTGCTCTATTGAAAAAAAAAACACAACATGACCTTATTATCATATAATTAGACAAATAACGGTAAGCGCAAATTGAATTATTGTGTTCTACTTAATCATTCGCTGCTTTTCAAGAATAGCGTCTCGACCCAAAATAGTTCATACTATTAGTTTTATAACACAGCTGCATTCAGAATACGCTAAATTTTATTGTGAATAAAAACATGAACCAGTGTATGATTGGTCCGATTTGGATGTTAGATATGATTCACTTGTTTATAAACCATCTTGTTGATTTTGAGATAGGTCACTATTTAAGAAAGCCATCATGCACACCTAAATAATGCCTATTCACTCTCGCCTTGAAAAGACCCAAATTATAACGTTCAGGGAACAAAGTAGGCAGGGAATTCCACTCCATAGCCGTTCGCCATATAAATGTGGAAGCGTAACGCTTCGTGAGAATCTTTGGAATATCCACAACATAGGGGTGGAACCCAAGCCTACGCCTAGTCCCCCGGTGATGGAAAGGGAAAAACGGAATTAAATCGTGTAATTCATCGCACACTCTCCGTGATAAATCCTGTAAAATACCGATAAGCAGGCAACTTTACGGCGGTATACAAGGCTCTGCAGCTTCGCCTCCACTAATTCCGAGTCACCTATAAGCCTCTTGGCACGGCTGTCACTTGAATCCAAAGTGGCCAGTTGATATGTAGCAGAGCCATCCCAGAGGTGGCAGAAGTACTCCATGCACCATCGGACTTGTGCTTGGTACATCTGAAGCAACTGTCCCGGTGTAAAGTAACGCCTCATCCTTGAAAGGATCCCAAGCTTCCTTGCTGCATTTTTGGTCATGGATTCAATGGATCTGCCTAAGTTCAAACTGGACGACAGGTCCATTCCAAGTAGCTGGAGACAGTCGGGTATCGGTATGGATATATCACGAAAAGTCGGAGGCAGCTCAAAGGGACTCCGTTTTGTGGAGAATAGACACGCCTGCATGTATGGTAGCGTTAAATTTGACAAGATTGGCATTGCCCCAATCGGAGACTGCCTGGAGTGTCAAATCTAAATGGCTAAACCATACACTCTCGACAAGACTGGATTTCCTCTCCACTGACCCTTGCATTGGTCAAGTACCTGTCTACAAGTGTGCTGTCATCACCATACGCAAAGGTACCTAGAATTAGCATATCGTTGATATGCAGCAGAAAGAGAGTTGCAGACAATACGGAACCCTGAGGAACTCGGCATCTATCGCCATATGTTCGGAAGAGCAGCCTTCTAAGACCACTCGAATCGAACGTTCGCTCAAGAAATCCGAGATCCAATTGCAAAGATCAGTGGAAAACCCATAAGAGGGAAGCTTACTTAAAAGGCTTGCGTGCCAGACTCTGTCAAAGGCTTTAGAAATGTCCAAAGACACTGCAAGTGTTTCGCCTTGCTTTTCTATAGTCTCGCTCCATATGTGACAGGCATAGACAAGAATATCCCCAGTAGATCGCCCTGGTCGGAATCCGTACTGGCGAACGCTGAGGAGGTCGTTGTCTTTAAGGTACGATAGGAGACGATTGTAGAGTACACGTTCCATAGTCTTGCAGAGTATGGAAGTAACTGTGATAGGTCTATAGTTGACAGGGTCAGAACTACTTCCCTTTTTTGGCACAGATTGCACATTTGCAAGCTTCCACGACCTGGGAACTACACCAGTCTCAAGTGAGAGGCGGTACAGGCGTGTGAGAACAGGAGACAACTCAGGCGCACAGTTACGCAGGACTATTCCTGGGATTCCATCTAGCCCGCTAGCTTTATTTACGTCTAGATTTCGCAGAGTTCTAAGTACTCTTTTTGGCGTTTGGAAACTGGCGCCATAGTGCAGACAGCCTGAGGTAAAGCAGGTGGTAGATTTCCTGCGGCATCCAGACGCGAACTCTCTGCAAAGAGTAAGGATTCGCCTTCTCTTCCGCAGTATGAGCCAGTGAGCCATCCGGCCTCAGCAGAGGTGGCAAAGATGGGCGACAAAAGTTAGATTCGACCGCTTTGGCCATGGACCAAAAGGAGTTGCTGCCTGCAGGATAAGAGGCAAGCTTAGCCCTATGCGGCGCACATGGTCGAACTTGGCCCTACGTAACACGCGTATGCACTTCTTATTCAAATTCTCAGTACTCGGAGCTTTGCGTAGTCGAACATCTGCCCAAGCTTGGTACGCGCACTGTTTATGTACTTCAGCACAACTACAATCAGCGTTAAACCGTGGACGAACTTAGGGTACATTGGGTACGTGAGACTATTTTTTCGAATCTAAATTACGCATATTTGTTTTTTCCAATAATTGGCAAAATAACTGGTTGATGACTTTTTTTCACCATCTCACTCAGCCGTGACCACATCTAAAGGGACCGACATGTTAGTTTGTTTGTATAAACAAATTACATGCGATTTAGACCGTTTTCAACGTGTTACAATTGCAAAAATTTAAGAAATCGATACGTTCAAGTTCAAATGTAGTTTAAAAAATCACGTATACATATCGTAAAGCTTTATGTTAAAACATAAATAATACTCACATAAGCGGGACATATCGACAACATACAATCAGCTCTAGATTGACATCCATCTCTGACATTTTCTTTTATCGTTGGCCGGTTCAGTAAAGACTGAGCTGTTCCTACGCGCACATCCTGTAATAATTAATAACAATAATAATAGCCACGCCAATTACATGATCTTAAACTAGAAAAACTAGATATTGTATGTACTATGAGTACCATATCAACTCACTCCGGGGCACTACCCAGTATTTCACAAATTGGGGCTACCGGGAATCGAACCCGAAACTTCCTCATCCAGAGCCCACTTGTTGGGCCCCTAATGTCGTCAAAATCTTGTAAAATGCACATAAGAAAAACTTCGAGAAAGTAAGAAAAATAAGATGAAAATGCTTTCACAGCTTATTGCTTAATAAAAGTTTGTATATTTTGTGTAAATGAAACTAGACATAATATAGAATTTTATTCAATATGATGTTTTGTTACGATGATATTATTATTATGATAATGTTTTACTATCATGATATTTTTTTTTTAAATTACCCACCCCACTAGTCCATTATAATTATTAAAACAAAGACCAAACACAAAGAAAAATACCTTTGATCTGACAGGATTCGAACCTGCGTCTGTATGCCGTATAGCTTTGGCTTGTCAACAACAAACCAGACGTCAAATTAAAATAAAAAAATTATAACAGAAATATGCAGCGTTTGGAAGGCATCTGTCTATCCCAAAGGGGCTAAATGTCTCAGTGTCCGAACGGTTACCATACTAGTCGACCACGCAGAAGCCCCTGGTTCGATTCAAGGGCAGGGAGAAATATTTGTAAGGCCTACATTTATTTCTATCATGAGCTTGGGTGTAATTTGTGGTTGCCTATGTGTGTGTCCATGGCACCTGCGACACAGGGTTCTCCTATTCTGGGTCTATATTAAATATTTGTTTTAAACTGAATACCAGATAAATGATAAAATCTTTAGGAACTTAAATATAACTCTACCATTAAATATTTAACATACACTGGAAGAACATACCTGTATGCATCCTTCAAAATATCCGACTTCCGATGCCAATAAACCAGCCGTGCTATCCGGTCCGCCAATCAAAATCTTGCCTATATATTGCCCTTGAATTTTATTGGCTAACATTGGCAGTAAAGCGTTGCGATGTCCGTAGTCTATATTTACCGAGATGTCTGTACCGAGCCATTTGATCTCTATGCGGTGCCATGTACCATCGGCCAATGTCGTTGAAGGAAGAAACATTGATTCCCCATTGTAAGAATAGTGCAGTAGGCCTGATTTCAACTGTAAAAATGTTGTGAAAATTCGAGGTCAAGAAGTCGACAAAAACAAAAAAGCATCTTAGTGTTACATGTCAGTTGAAATTTGGCAGCGAACGTCACAATTAGGTACAGTGAAATAATCAGAATATTAAAAGCTCATACAAAGTCATCCAAGTCACACTAATTTATTGACTTTGATGAAGAAAATGCAGCAACATATGAATTTTGAATTAATTTTGTTGTTAGTTTTTTAGTGTTAGTTGTTTATTTTGGGTAGCTTTTATTCGTGTCGGTAACAATCGGAGGTCGTTAGTTCTTTATTCGGCCTGGAGCGTGGTCGAAAGCCGGATATTCGTCGAATTTATCCGGTTTGATTTACGCAAGTACGAAAATTAGCACGAAAAAAAACCATATAGGTTACGACAAATAATTTAGTAAAATGAAAAAAGTACTTAACTATTCAGTTCAAAATTTAAATTTATGCATGAGTTCATGAAGAAAGTAATTGTCCACTTTGCTTTGATTTTTTTGTTTGATTAACGTCCGAAAACATAATTTTATAGATAGGAGACAATAAGTACCTACTTGATTGATTTTGTTAGCGTTTATTTAGACATGAGTAGGTAAGCTACAAGTTGTAGTTTAATCTTCCTTAAATCTCTTAGAATAATAACTTAGTATTATATCTCCTTTGATGTTTTAGACAAAGAAGCGAAAAATTGCGTTTTTCCGAGCTTACAATGTATGTGGAGCATTAATAAAAGTTACATAATAATTCACTGTTTTTTCTTATTTCTTTTTCCTGTTTTCGGCCTGTTTCGGTAAAAAACAGGATAAGTACCGAATAAGCCGAATACCGAATATTCAATACAACTCAAGTTTTTATATATTTGATTGTTGATGCTAATTATGTTATAGCTATAAGTGTTATAAATAAACTTACGGTAATAAGGATGGTGCTATTCTGTCCAACTTGTATGGACATGAGAAAGGCGTCCTGTTGCCTTGTACGAATTGATAAAGCGTTGAGCCATGGCAGTTGTATTGGACGCAGTAAGGGGTTGAACGATAGCATTCCATCGCCACTGAATCGCCATGGCGCGGACGTAGCTGAAATCAACGATAGCTTTACATATTTGACTTCATAGAAAAAGATAGCGGATCGGAATTTTACCTCAATACCCAGTATTTGTTTTAAATAATAGGCAGTTGTAAGAAGACCTAAAACTTAAATTAATTTGCGTTTAATTTTATATTGAATTAAAATAAAAAGCTTTGAAGTATGTGTCCTCTTTGTATTTTTCATAAACATAATTCTTAATACAGTGTATGTGTGTAAGAACTTATAAAAATTGACAATTCAAATGAACTTGTGCTCAGTAATGGGAAGAATAATGGGTCGAGGATGATTCAAATGAAACAAGTTCGGCTATTTATTCCATAAGCGTGACCAATATTCAGTCGATAGTAGATAGAATATTTATCGACTGCAATCACTAGCTGCTCGTAAGCGGGCAACACTTTTGCGCAATGATCTGTCATTTTACTCCGTTTTAAAAAAAGACAGACTTTAAAAGTTTATTTTGATTGTTTTGTAAAAAGTTATACTATATTAAAGCTGAAACAAAAGTTTATGGTGGTATAATGTCATATACTCACAGTCGGCACAGTCTTTCCCAGTGTAACCTTCATCACATTCGCAGAGATACGTGTCCCATAAATCGTGACATTGCGCCCCATTGTAGCATGGCGCTGATGCACAATGTGAGCGTTTTTCAGGACAACCAGCCAAAGTTCCATTGTCCGCTACGAAGCTGAAACAAAAATGGGTATTAGCTTGGGAGTGAGCGAATCGGCCAATGTAATTGTCGGGACAGTCATGCACTACTTTTTAAAGTAGGTTCCGTTTTTAAAATATAAATTAATCCTTATTCCATTTTAAATTCAATTTAATTTAATTCTTTCATTGGTAATAATTTTCTGTTAATGAAAGTAAATAGAAATGTAATGTAATGTTAAATTATTATTGGGTGTATAATATGCCTAAATAAACAAACATTTTATTTTTTATCAATAACATGAAAATTTGATTTTGGAAACACCTAAAATAGTCTTAAAATGACAGTACAGTTGCATTTTAAAAAAATCAAGGGAATTTTTTGGTTTTGTTCTTTAGTCGTTTAATCAACACTCCTGCGGGAAGATACGATTGTCTTTGGGAAGGAGACTGATGCGTCATTGCACAATTGATCTTTACTCCAGATACAATCGTTGCTGGAGTGATCCGTAGTGCTTAAATTCTCTTTGGAGTGATCGTTTCGAAAGTGAGTCAGGAATAATCACGTTCTATTGTGTAGTTAAGTAAAAATCTTTTTTTTTAAGTTTTAGTTTTCTATAATAAAAATGACAAAACTTGACGATGCTCTGTATTTTTTTTAATTGACTGTACGTATTTATTATTACTACGAACGAGACGATGCATATAGAAGTGATGAGTTGGTACTTACCTGTTCAAATCTACGAACTTGTGGTCAATATGGAAGTCGGAAATACATCCAACAAAATCTTTGTTCTTCACTTGGAAACTACTGGGTATGTTTGGTAGACCACCTATTTGTAGAGGGCCAGTTAAATCAAGGAACCTAGGAAATAAGAAATATATATACGTTATGTGGTTAAATGTTACCTTTGAAGTCACATGAGCAGTGTTTTTCTCCAGTGAGATTCTCGTCCGCTTGCGACCGTTTAAAATATCATAATAGAGAAATGTCGAATCAAAAGTAGCGAACATCGGTAGCAAACAGTTTTAAGTACAAATATTCTCAGGATCTCAATATCGACATAATCAATCCTCAGCAAAATCAAATTAATAACAAAATTTTAAATTTAGTAGCAATTAATTTCAAAAAGTTTCTAATCTGAATGTATACTGTGAAAACTATTTCATTTTTAAGTAACCAAAGCTGTAAAATGGCAATTTCATACTACCTATAGGCGTATTTAAGTAAGTGGAGAGAAAGAAACAATAAAAAATACACTCAGTCTTCTTTACCTGTGGCAAGTCTCTGTAGGAATATCACATCGTGGTGGCAGTACTTTCCTACTGAAGTTTGCGCAGGCGTACCTAATGCCGAATTCTGCGGCGCCAGCCAATGACAGCGCTTTATCACATTCGTCCAGTATTATTGTGGCCGTCTGAAAAAAATATGAAATGCTTAACTTTATGTTGGTTGGGAAGGCGTATTTAATTCGTCACTTCAATAACACATACTCTGTACGATATTTCAATTGTATAGGCCCTTAGAAAAGCGTACCGACTTTATCTCTCGTTGGGGGACGCACTGAATACGGATAGTCATAACACACATGAACTGAACTGAACTGAACTGAACGTTTGTTACGCTAGTGCAATCACCCTCTAGACTTACGGTTTCAGCGTGAACTTACCCTGTTAAAATACTCCACGTCCACACTATGCCACAGTCCATCAGCGACATCTCCAGCTACAGTGACCTCAGTCTTGGCTCCTCCAAGGCCGAATGTGAACCGCAGACCCGCGCCACCGTTGTGCCCGGCCCCTGAGCTGACTACTTCTAGAGCTATGAAGTCATGACGCTCGTTGTAACGCCCGTTGTACAGAAGAAGTCCAGAAGTCGTTTGGGTTGCAAATCTGGGACGAAACAAATATTTTTATATATTGTTCATTAGAATGAATAAAATATTATACTTATATTGTTAATAACTACTAACTTCATTTTCAAGTGGAATCGATGTCGTCTCTTCAAGCTAGGGAATGTCAAGAAAGAGGAGACAGGGAAGCTCCTTGCCCTCAATTCGCATAGCGCCGTGGTGTACGCAGCGTCGATTGTACAGCCCTGGCATAAGATTCCACCTTCCCTCCTCGCTACGCATTGGGAACCACTGCGGCAGATTGTACCCGCACCGTTCACGTCACAGGTTTCTTTTGTGAGAATTGTTTCACAGTTTACTCCTGCAAAAAAAAAGAACAAAGGCATAATGTGCACGGCTATTACTAAAAATAAGTCACATTTATTTTACTTTTTTTTTTGTGAAACCAAGTGACGGGACGACCATGCCTGTCTAGCAGTTGCAGTGCCACCCAAGACCTTTAAATCGCAAAAATCAGAGGGGCACTGCCACTGCACCCGTAGACGTAACTTGATAAGTCCCACCTGCCTGTAATTTCACCAGTACCCTTACCCTTCAAAACCAGAGCGCATTAATGGTCACATTACTGCTTGGTAGAAGTAGGTAAAGTGATAATATTAAGATGTTGGTGCTGATGGCAAAAAAAACGTCTAAACCTAATACTAAGATTTGCAACAAGCACATAGAGAAATTCGTGATATCTGCCGACTGTTGCGCATTAGGTACTTAAGTAAGAGTGGTGGCCCCGGTGCGGCAATAGAGGCTGGTTCGAGTCCACTTAGATCGAAGGAATTTTTCTTTGTGTTGCGAAGATCGAAATCTTCGTATCAGAAATAAGAAGTACTCATGTATTATGTTAGTCATTACAAGATAAAAGAACGAAAATAAGATCAATAGTTACCTGTAAAGCCAGCAGTGCAAACACAAGTGTACCCTCCTTCCCTCCGTAGACATGTACCGTTGTTAACACAAGGCGACGAATAACATAGGTCTACTTCAGTATCACACATGTAGTGTTCTCTCGAACCTAAAATTATACACTAGGTTTGTTACTAAGTAGTCACAGCAATTTTAAAAGTTAACAAATGAATGCTGAGATGTTGCTTGGCGGGTAGGTGGTTGCGTTATAATAGCTGCAACCCCACATAGAGGGAAACGTTATCTATTTGTGCGATAAGGCGAGAATGTCTGCGGTCGAATTCACCTGGACTTGTATTTTAATTAGCTTTTAATTTTTATTAATATATCACAATAAATATATTTGTCACCAACTTATTATGTTATTATTTTAAACTAGGCTGAATATACGTAAATCTATGCCAATATATGCTCTTTTCTATCTAAAATTGTCTGTACCTTTGTGCCTCGCCTTTATGAACCTATGCTTGCCTTCAACAATAAATTCACGTTAATTTTCAAAGATAACATATAAATAAAGAAACAGCTTGAGTGTAAGGAGTGTAGGAGGGCTAATTGAGACTCATCTATTTTCTAATTGGAATTAAAATTATCGCGGGTTTATTGTTGAACGCGAAGGCACAAATTACTTATTTTTTATTAATAATTTTGGCTTAGATACAAGTCCTTTGAGCCATGTCTTCGTTTAATTATGTTTCTGTGAATATGGCCGCCACAAAGAGGATAGGCAATTTGAGGCGGCGTGTTTGGATTGACTCGGAACGATTCCTTAGAACGGGCCGATACGGGTATTTTAGTTCGAGATTCGTATAATTTCGCGTTTTATTCTCCGATTAAGACACGATAGCACTATCCTATTCCACTTTAAACTAGATTTCACAAAACAATTGAAAGTCAAAATAAAAACGACATTTTTCCTTTCAAAATGCCCAGAGCGAATCCCCGAAGGCACAAAGGGACAGACAATTTTTGACAGAAGAGAGATCTTATACATTGGCATAGGTTTACGTACAATCAGCTTACTTTAATATTATAACAAATTGAAGACAAATCTATATATTCTAGTATATTCTAATAATTAAAACTAAACTAAACTCCAATAACTAAACTAAACACCAATAAAAATACACAGTATTTAACAAGTATGGATCGGTTGGTATATTGCGATTTAAATAAATACCTGCTCTACCATGCTCCCTTAATTATTGTTTATTTACATGTGTGCGTTCAGCTTGTCATATTATTAATAACACACAACTAACGGCTACTGAGGATATCGACTGTGAACTGGCAATCGGTACTATCTCGTATCTATCTTTTGACAACTTAACAGGATGAAGAAAAAAATTACTATTAATTACATTGACTTACAATTATAATTAATTATAAATATACGTAGTTTTTAAATATTTTTATTATATGTGTATGTATGTACCTACGTACTTTTATTTAATAAACCAGATGCTATATAAATGATTTTTCCTGCATCCTGTAAAGTTGTCAGAATTGTGATAGTACAGGTTGCCAGTTCACAGTGGATATGACCGTGGACACAGGTAGCACGGGATTGACGGGATCTTCAGTTACTTTCTACAACATCCAAGACATTATATGGATTAATAATTCGCGATTTTTTTTATCAATCACGTCTTTCAACTGGGTAAAGACGTTGGTCTTCCAGAGTGAATAGGCTTTATACAGGGTTCTTTGTTGCTAACATCATAAACAACAACTTTTGTTCCATGACTGTTTATAATTGATCAGATTTTACTTTCACACAATTTTTTTTGACGGCATGAGCAAGTCGTGCGCCTGATGGTAAGCTACACGCCTGTCCATAACAGTTGTAGTGCCACTCAGAGCTTTAAATCGCAAAGATCTGAGGGACACTGCCACTGCGCCCGTCACCCTGAGAAATAAGTTGACAAGTCCCATGTGCCTGTAATTTCACCCTTACCCTTTAAAACCGGAACACAGTAATGTTAACATTATTAGTTGGCGGCAGAAATAAAATATTTAAATTGATAGCTCTAAACGGTGATAACTCTGTGTCAGGTGTTCATGCTCCATCACTTACCATCAGGTGAGATAATGGTCAAATGAGCACTTAGTTTATCTTTTAAAAAAATGCTCTTGAGTTATAAACCAATATATGGCAAAGCTGTACACAAGATGCCCGGAAATTACACGGACCAAATAATTGTAACACGTACCTGTGAAACCTTGAGGACACTGGCATGCAAACGTAGTGACAGGGTAAATAGGTCGAAACAAGACACTATCGCTAGTAATGAAGCCGGAAGCATTGCCGAATTTGAGGACGGTGAGGCATTCCTCGTAGTTGAGACAGGGTTCGTGGACGCAGATGTTATCGTCGAACGGCAGCACCTTCAATTAATTAAAACGATTCTTGTAAGATTCAAATTGTTTTTAAAGTACTTATGAAAGCAATCAATAAAAAGTGTCGGAGTTCTCATACAAACTATTTCTTTTAATTTCGGTATGAGTTTTAAGCGATGACGTACTTTACTCGCCATGTTATACAGTGTTCATGTCAGTCTAGCAAGATGAGTGAAAGTACACAGGGTAAATTGTTACTCCCACAGGATCCTAAGTATGAGCGCATTTATTTGTACCTATATTCTTTCAATTCTAAGTTCCTTATTGCCTGCTAAATAGTAATATAGCATATAGTATCATTTGAGTATAGAACCATTTTTTCTTGAAGATACAAGTGACGGGACGTACAAGACGTGCGCTTAGTGATAAGCGGCATACCTGTCTATAACGATTGCACTGCCAATCAGGCTCCCAATCACAAAGATCTGAGTTTTTGAGATTACAGCTTGACGGTAGAAATAGTCAAGTATTAAATATTTAAAATTTATATACTGAATCATAACAATATTGTTAGTTTAAACTTGACTGCGACGTAAAGAAAATCTCTGGCCATTTGTTACTTGTATTTTTTTAGGGATCCAATGGAAGTTTATCCCCTTCTACATTTTGATTTGTGTAGCCCTTTTATTTTTTTTGGGATAGATAAACAATACGATAATTCAGCTATTTACATAAACGCGAATATAAAATCGTGTTAAGATTATTTCGTGAATCGTTTTTCGACGGACCTGTACCGTAGCAAGCCTGGCTAAGGTAGATCGATGTAAGTACACCCTCTCTCGCAAGTGCGTCGGAGAATAGTATTGGGAAGTGTCACCAGACACCCCAATCTCTGCTTCTGGCCGTCGAGCGGAGAATGATACGTTCAAAATGTTGCCAGTTACGTCAGTGTCATCCTGTGAAATAAAATGTATTATGTAGGCTGCATTTTGCATTTAGCTTTGTTACGTAGGTTCTCAATACTCAACAATTTTATTGCTCTACATAATTAGAATAGATGTTATAATCATTTATGTATGTTTCGTATTTATTTGTGTTTGCAATATAAGAATGTATTGATAAAAAGTGAACAGGCAATAGGTAATGCAATAGAGCTGTTCCGTCTAGCAAGAGTCATCAAGAAAAGTGCTAAGTTGCCTGCTTCTGGAAGAATAATATGCAAGAATTAATAACCGTAGCAATATAGGATTACACAAAATCTGTTCACGCTGTATCTATTAAATTATCAATATAAAACACTCCCGGATACATAATTAATAATTAATATTAAAGACGCAAGATGGTTCGCATCTTGCATCTTTAATATTAAATGCTGTAAGCTTAAAATAAAGAATTTTTGATTAAGCAAAAACTCTTATGCAATTTTGAAACTGGTATATTAAACGTCATTTTCACATGTCCTTGTTGAAAATTAGTATTTTTAAAACCGAGGAAAATATTTTCTTCGATGAGAAAAATATTTTTGTATTCTAAGTCTATATGAATAATAATAATAAGGACAAGAGCTATATGGATAAAAATGCAAGGTGTCTCCAATTGCGTATCCAGGAGTGCACGTTTATAATTATTATTTTATAAAACTAAATTTATTTAAAAAAATACATGAAAAGTTTTATATTTTACCTGTATACTAAATATATAAATATTCTCCTTTGGGCAAGGTATAATAGCAGCCAAGCCGTCAATGAAGAATCCAAGCAGAGGTGAGAGGAATTGTTCCGCGGTCATGTCATTCAGGCGCACTGTGATTGAGTTGAATAGCATCTCTTCGGTGATGAGTCGGACTGACAGCTGCATCATCGCTTTTATTTCGTTCACGCCATCTGTTGGGTAAAATATTACGGATTATTTGTTTTCCGTAAGTCTGCAACAATGTTTACTACATTATATTATATATAATCGTAAAATTACATCACCATCAACAAATGAGCTTTTTTGTTCAATTTACGTATAAGTTCTAATTTTTTGGAAAAAGAGTAATAATAGCAGATTGTACAACAAGTGCATAAAACGCGTCATTTTACCCGAGACGAGTGTATCTCTATATATTAATATCTCGCCTGCGGCTCGGGTGGATCCTTAAGTCGAGGGTAAAATGGGTTTTATGAACGAGTTATACACTCTGCTTTTCAATTCGATTGCGAGGAATTTAAACAGCAGTATTACAAATAAACGATTATTTAATTAAAATTGAAATTAAAATTGTAAAATTAAAACAATTACACATATTTAATGTGATGGTTTTTTATTTTATGCACTAGAGCATAAAATCCTATTTTACGCAGCTTACACCCAGCATAAGTACGAACTTTAAGAGCATGAGAAGTGAAAATGAACTTTTGTTCAAGCTGCGAACAGGTTCATATTTTTTGGAAACACAGTGTTTAAAGTTGTTGTTTGAAAACATTTTTGAACCACGTGAATGTCATCTCTCTCATAATGTATTGCACAGAAAAGTTGCAATTTCCTATTTTCCCAAAACATTCCTTAAAATATTAATTAATACTACTTGTTCTACGGTTAAAATGGTCCATAAATACCTGATACAGATATTTCCATGGTAGCTAGTTTCGGCACATTAGTGTTCAGTTGAGGTGACAATGTCATTGATCCCGTCGTTTCATTTAATAATACTAAATTCGCGTTGTTGCCAGATAGAATTCGGAATTGGAGCTAGAATAAATCATTAAACATTGATACTGACAATTTAAAATAAAACAATGATATTGTTTATTGTAGTACTTTTATCTTGATAAAAAATCACACAGATTACTGCATAAAGGTATCAAAATACGTTACTTTTTCATTTATGCGTTCTGTAAATGTGAATAAATTTTGATAGGAAAAATTTTGTACCTTGTCAGTAACATCGGCGTCATAAGCCGGCACTCTACCAAAAGGTCCAACGGGAAAGCAATCTTTATAGTTATTGAAAATAATCTGAAAGTCCTTCATCATTGGAGCGTTGTCATTCACATCGGTGACTAATATTTCGACTCTGACGTCATTCCACAGAGGTGGGCTAGCTGCTCTAATAACTAGCTCATATTTCTTTCTTGGACTTTCGTAGTCGAGATCAACCATGGTGACAAGTTCTGCCTTGTCGGAGCCTTGGCGAGTTTCTAGCGAAAAACTGTTGGAATCGTCACCACCTGACGTAGAAAGAAGAATAAAAAGGGTTAATTGGATAGGTATAATTATAAAAATAAGGAATTCCATAAAACAAAAAAAATCTATAAATCAGCATTTTTGTGTCAACAAAAATATGTCTATATTTTATTACAAATTCCATCATAAATTGATACTTTTCGAATCCTTAAACTGATAAGCAAAATATTTAATATTGATTGTAATAAATATTATGATGTTTTAGTACCATGACATTCATTCTCCTTCTTGTGAAATTACTCCACTTGTTCGTTTTAATTGTTAATACAAAGATCGAACACAAAAAAAAATACTTCGATCTGACAGGACCAGAACCTGTTTCTATATTCCAATCTAAGGCAACAGCTCTACCAACTGAGTTACAGATCGAGTCAGCGGACCTTACGAAGTCTTCTATGAGTTTATTACAGATATTTGTTTTTGGTTTTAACGGCATTTTTTGCCGTAGCACCACCTAGAAATCTATGAAAGTTTTTCGTCACTTCACACAGCTGCCAGAGGTTGACAAGAGTACTCGCTTCTAAATTGTAATATTGATTGTAATCAATATTGTGATATCTTAATACCATGATATTTATTCACATTCCAAGTAAATTTTTAATGCTGAACAAAGCTGTCATCAATCTGGCCTAATATAATGTGGACTTACCTTTAATAGAATAATGTACAACAGCATTGGCTCCTTCGTCGGGGTCGTGAGCATAGATTTCTCCAATAGTTGTGCCGATAGGGCTGTTCTCTGGCACGTAGAACGTCAGACAATCGCTTGCAAACACGGGCGGGGAATCGTTTATATCTTCTACTTTTATGTGGACTATCACCTATAAAGAAATTAAATTTACGCATGGTCACATATTTTCGTAACAGATAAAAAAAATCTCTAAATTAATGTGGCGATTAATTTTGGCACGTAACAAAGAGTAAGTGGCAAACATGTAAATATGTATAAAATAATTAGAAATAAAATTGCCCCGGCGTGGCAACAGATGCTGATTTGAGTCCTGTCAGATCGAAGGAATTTTCGTTTGTGTTATTCGATGTTTGTATCAATAATAATAACAATATATATGTTATATATTTTACATTTCCTCATTATTTTTGTAAAATTTTAATCTGATTTCGGATACATTCAGTTAACATTGTATTATGGTCTAGTTCACTGTAATGTTTTAAAATTTATTTTATTGAAGTTACTTATCTTAATATAAGGTTGCATTACGTATTTCTCTTACGTCAGATAACAGTATTACGGAAATACTTACACTAGAACTTTGCGGTGGAGTGCCCCCATCGATAGCCAAAGCCTTCAAGTCGTAAGTAGCAACTGATTCTCTGTCCAACGCCTTGTTAGTTCTTATAACTCCGGAAGCAGAATCGATGACGAACGACCCTTCTTCCTTATCTTTCTGATCTAATTCGTAGTGAACTCGACCGTTGAGGCCGACGTCCGCATCTGTTGCACTCACTTGAATTACCGATGTACCTGTTGCAGAAAAGGGAGTCTTTTTAAATCAATTTACTTTTTTGTTTAAGTGACATTATATTTTCAGTTACCTATTATACATATATTTTTAAGCAGGTGATTTTTTAACTATGAAGAAAAGGAAAGAGAAAATCTTATTTTGGATTTGTAGAGTTCAGAAAAAGTTTTTTATTACTATACTATTTATTACTATAGAGAAAGACCGTTTTATCTCCCACCACTATTGTCTGTTACTAAAGTCTATATGTAAAGTATTTTTTTAATTATTTATTTATGTGTTAGATAACTAAACGATTTTTTTATTAGACGCCTGAAAAGCTTTATTTCTCATAGTTTCCCCGAAAACATGATTTAATCCTAACAAAATTTATATGGGATCAACCTAAGGATGAAAAATCATCAATTTATTAAAAATATATGTAGTCTATGTTTACACCCACATATAAAAATAAAATCTATTTGAGAACGTCTTGTCTTCGAAGTTTGCAAAAAACACTAGACGTACCAACTAAAGCATCCTCCATAATGCTAGAGCTATAAATTTGTTGTTTGAATACAGGTTCGTTGTCGTTCACATCAACTACCGATATTTCTACATCCGTTGTGTCTGACAGGGAAGGTACACCACCGTCTCTTGCTGTTACTGTTAATAAATAACCTGAAAGTGAAAAAAGTTTAAATTTAACTGCTAAGTAAAGTTATGATTGAATTAATAAGTCTCTAAAAGTTTCTTTTGTTAAGATGACACATTTAAATCTTTTTAATTTGGCAACATGACGAATTCTCGTCATGTTGCCTTACACAAATAATTTTGTTAATTGATTTTTTGTTATGGTTATATCATTTCGCAAAAAGAAAACTTGAACTAAGAAATACAATTTAAATAAATTAAAAACTATTGTTACATATTTAAATGAAATCTAAAACATAAATGCATAGTTTCTAGTCCAATTTAAACTTAAAAACTAGACCAAAAAGTAACAATTTTTAGACATTAGCCCACCGCCGCTCTCGTTAAGTGTATTTTGAACTCACCACTCATGGTTTCTCTATCCAACAACTTGTTAGTAGTAATAGCTCCTGTCTGTGGGTTGATACTGAACTCATGTTCATGATGGGCCACAGCCTCGTTGGATATCTCCGAGCTGAGCGTATATGTGATTTGCGCATTCATTCCTACGTCACTGTCCGTTGCTGATACTACCAGAACTGTAGTACCTATTGGAGCGTCTTCGAACACCTGGGACAGAGTTTTAAGAGGAGTAAAATTTTTGTATTAACATTTTTATTGTCAAATAAGTAAACGTTACATTTATATGATTGCGCCACTGAAAAATAGGACAAACCTTTTAACCCGTACAATAAATTACGTAGCGGGCCTAAGGGTACCCACGTGGGCACAGACTTTAACACGCTTACGCCAGAAGGGCGAACTACTGCAGAGACTTGGCGTGAGCACATGCTAAACTAGCTTCGTCCTCACCGGTATGGAGTGTAAATGTGTTTCAAATAAAATTAATTCTGCTGAAGTCTTGTATGATTATCATGTTAACAAACATGATCAATTTAGAATACAAGCAATGCCATTTAGTGTATTAATTTCTGGACTTCTAGATTACTATAGAAGTCCACGAATACCTAAAATTACATTTCGCAATTGTTATGTGTGTTGTGTTTCACAAAAAAAATACTTTTAAATAAATGCACTTGAAATTTCAACGACGAATATTTGTAACAAATACCATGTTAATTTGTGACAGATTATTGCACATAATGCATAATGAATTTAACGTCAATTATGTAAAGTACAAATTAGATATGACTCAAAAAACAGATGGCCAAACAAACGTCTTTCGGAGAATTCTTGCGCTGTCGCGGGAATTCCCGCAGCTAGCGTACTGTATCTATGTAGATATCGCTGCAATGTAAATTGAGACTTATTCTTTTGTCAATTAATTTTACGTTTTCAACTTACATAGTAGATCGTAAACTTACCGATGCGGTATAAGGAGCATTCTCAAAAACAGGCGCGTAATTATTGGCATCAGTAATATTGATATGCACCATTGCGTTGTCGGACCTACCGCCGGAATCAGTAGCTGTTATTGTGAGTACATATCGCCGTTCTTGTTTGAAGTCAAGCGGTTGTGCCACTGTGATCAAACCGCGACCATTTTGAGAAGTTATTGAGAATCGACCGCGTATATTGCCGCCTGTTATTTCGTAGTGCAACCTGAAAATATTCATTTTGTAAGTACCTATACCTAATAACTGTCAAATTTTATTATTGATATTTTTTGTGAAATAACTCCACTAGTTTTGTTAGGATATTTAATACAAATATCGAAAACATACAAAAATTTCTTCGACACACAATGGTGAAAGCGGCTATGCACAGAGTCGAAGAAATTATTCTGTGTTCGATCTTTGTATTTAATAATCATGAGTATCAAATTGGTCAAATTGGTCATGCTACACTAACGCAATTGTACTTCTTGTAATATTACAGGACATGGATTGTTTTGGAATTGATTTTTTAATTTTATTTCAAATTTATGACGTGTCAATAAAACTTTGTGTATTTTTACAGTATTATATACAAATATTAATTTAAAATTACTGCCATTTTTTTTTCAAACATAAACACTTGTTATGTTACTGATATGTTAATACACTTAATTCAATTTTGCCAAAATTACAATTACGTCAATGTAGCACCAAATGAGCGAAATATCAAACGAGGTTAACATCTTTCACGACTCATTTAACACGTTTAAAAGGGAATGTAACGACTGTTCTAAGGGCTGTGCTAAAGGAGTTTGTATCTTTTATATAGCTTTTGTAATTAATTCGCAACAGAACATAAAAATAATACAATATAATTGAAATTGTATATCTTGAAGTTATCCTTCATAATTGCTGTAATATTTATTTTATTGCATAGTTGTATTTAACTACCAGAATATTCATATATTTTTTTATGAAAATACTCACTAGTTTGTTTACACTAGTTACGTAGTTTCTTGTAGTGCATTGGTACAATAACCGAACAACATAAAGAAAAAACTTTTATAAGCTTCTCACAGGCGGCGCTGAAGGCATAAAAACCGATTAAACCTAATTATAAGGATCTGCAACAAGCACACAGAGCAATTCGTAAGATGTGCTGACTCGGTCTGTAGCACAGTTGGTCAGAGAGGGAGCCCCGGTGTGGCAACAGACATTGGTTCGACTCCAGTCAGATCGATGTGATCAGGATGTTTTCTTTGTGTTGTTCGATCTTTGTATCAACGATAATACTGTTGTATATAAGTTTAGAAAACAAGACAATGTAATCAATGTTTCTCAATGTGTGTACTGAAGATGGTGTATCTATACATACAAATAATATTCCTTCCAAAACAGTAACTTTCAGAGTTAAACGTTTAAGCTTGAACATGTGAAAGCTAGTTTGAAAATAATAGGGTGTACCGGGAAAACAGCGTTTTCAATACTAACACTTTAAAGAGACAAGAAATGTGTCTAAGGATAACTTCGTAATTTAAAAAAAAATAAAACCTAAGTAACGGGACGAACAAGTCGTGCGCCTGTTCATTACAGTTGCAGTAGCACACACTCAAAGCTTTAAATCTCAAAGATCTGAGGGGCACTGCCACTGAGCCGTAAGTTGACAAGTCCCATTTGTGTCTGTAATTTCACCAGCTCCCTTACCCATCGAAACCGGAACCGGAAGATGGCAGTATTTCCTTGGACGAACTATTTCACAAGGAGCTTTACTGTTATTAAAACGTTTCCGTATATGGAAGTACAGCTGTATGTAAACTTAATGTCCCTTTCGCCATATCTGCCTACCTGTTATCCTCGTCAGCGTCAGTGGCAGTAACAGTGACAACGGGCGTGCCAGGTGGTTCATCTTCCGCAAGTTCTACTTCGTACTGCGGTGGTGAGAAGACGGGGTCGTTATCGTTCACATCTTGGATTACTAGTACAACAGACGCTGTGGCGGAACGTGGTGGAGTACCGCCGTCTGTAGCTGTTACCTAGTGATGTGAAAATTTTAGGAATATAATGGACCATCTTGTGTTAGATATACAATATTATCCAGAGGGAAAGATTGACAAAAGTGGATATTGCATAATTAAAGATTTGAAAAAGCTAGGAAAGAAGTCAAATTGCAGATGAAAGGCTAAGAAGTCCTGGGAATAAACAGATGAAAAAAGAAGATAGTATAAATAGAGAATAGAAACGTGACTGGAAGTAATATTTGGCTTAATACGTTTTATTTCGTTTTAGAAACGAAATAAAACCTTACCTGCAACTGGTATTTAGATTGCACTTCTCTATCCAGTGGTCCAGAAGTATAGACCCATCCGGATCTAGGGTCTATAGTGATGGGAAGTTCGTTATTACTATAGTCTTTATCCGTTAAAGTGTACGTCAATTCTGCATTCACGCCTTCATCGGCATCGTAAGCTTGCACCTGGAAAGGGGACATAAAATTTTGATTGTGTTTCTTGCTTCTCCACCGTGTGATTTTGATTATTTTTTGGGAAGTCCTATGGTAACGGAACGAAGTTGTGTAGGCTTGGCGTAGAACTATCGCTCGCTCGAAAGGCGGATCTATTTTCAAATATTTACAAAAAAATAATCAATTAATCAGTGATGCGACTGACCTCTGCTTCTACTTAACTTTAACTGCCTCCGTGGCCGAACGGTTACCATGCCGGACTGCCACGCAGAGGTCCCAGGTTCGATTCCCAGGCCGAGAGAAATAGTTGTATGACCTACAATTATTTCTCTCGTGAGTTTGGGTGTAATTTGTGGTTGTCTATGTGTGTGTCCATGGTACCCGCGACACAGGGTTTCCCTAGTGCGGGGCTATGTTGAGTGTGTGCGTTATTTATTTATTTATTTATTACTTCCGCTCGCTTTTTCACATCTGTTTCCTTTAAACGGAACATTTGCTATAGACGTTCGCGATAGATGAGACGCGCGGATTACTTGGCGGTGGGACGTGCGTTTTTAAGCAGTTTTATGTTAATTGCAATTAAGAAACTAAAAACAAAGTCCTGCCTTTATCCTGTTAATCGGTGTAGATTTTTGTTTTTAAAGTGTTAATTTGAAGTCCACTTGCACTAAAGTTAAGTAGGTCTTAGACCAATGCTTAAATTGATAAGACAATGTATTATGAGTGCTTTTGCATGGCACGGACATTTTCTTATGGTATTCACATATCACCGAGTATGTAACCAGAAATAGAGACGAAATCTAATATGTTTGAAAACGGTTCTGCCATATCATTACAGTGAAAACTGCGCTCCGATCGGCCAGCCTGAATTCGAAACAATTGGCGGGTGTCGTCGTTTCACTTCAAATCCAGAACTTTAACTTGAGTTATGCTATAATGGACGAAAAGTGGAAAATTACATATTTAGTATTGAATTATCGATGAAAATGTGATTCCGTTTGTTTTGTAATTAGAAGTTTTGCTATTTTTCCCACACCACCGAATGGAACAGCCTCTCATAGTTAGAGATATTATTTTTATTACAATAAATAGAGAATATTTTTGGAAATATAAGGAGACATACACACAGGTCAGTTGTTGGCGCTGTACTATTTCAGCTTTCTAATTTGTGATTTCAGTGCACACGACAGTTGATATTTAAAAGTCATATAAGCCCATTTGCCTGATGAGTTGCCAGGGATGTACTCGATGGCACATATTGAAACTAGCCGTGCTATTTCTATACGTACCCTAACGATGCTATATCCAACGGCAACATTTTCGCTGACCGACTCTTGAAACAAGGAGGTGTAGAACCTGGGTGCATTGTCATTGACATCTCGCACGTTGACCAGCAGTTGTGTTGTGTTGGATCGAGACGGGCTACCTCCATCTGGGAAAGAAGTCGTTTTTCTAGTGACCGGATATGAGTGCCTAAATTATGTAATTAGATAAATAATTATTAATCATAGGTTTCCCTTCATGAAACAATAGCAATGTTCCGTCGTTACAAAGAACTTATTATTACAAACTGACTAAGTTTCGGGAACGCACTTCAAGGACAAGTAACTTCGAGTATAAACTTATTTGATAATAATCTCAGTACAGAGTACCTACTAACATTCCGGAGAATATATTAAGATTATCATTTCCTAACTTTAAAATTTACATTAAAAGTAATTTAATTGAAAAGTCATATAACAAAATTTAAGCGTATGTTTTAGATAACGAAGAGAGAAGTATGGAAAGACAACAAGAGTGTAGATTCCACACAATTATGATTCAATGTGTATTCCGTAGCATTTAAGTTTATTTGAAAAGAGCAATCCCTAGAGTTTCTTGCTCGTTCTCCTGAGGGAGGTCAGCGTAGTGAATGAGCAATGCCTTAAAAAGTAGCTTAAAAAATGACATTTTCAAGTTTAGAAATTTTACCTATGGAATAAATGATTATTTGACTTTGACATCAAAAAATCGACCTCAAAAGTTCGTGGAATTACATCTATTTGCCAACTTTCGTTGAAATCGGTTACCGGAAAGTGCACGAAACCGTATTCATCCCCCTGTTTGCCACCCTTAGAGGTGAAATATTTTTTTCAAATTTAAATGGGATCAATACCGAGGTCTTTCTCTCTTTCCAACAAAAAAAAATTATAAAAATCGGTTCACAAATGCCGCCGGAGTTATCACGTAACATACAAACAAATATAAAAATACAGTCGAATTGAGAAACTCCTCCTTTTCTGAAGTTGGTTAAAAAGGTATAACTTGTACTTAATACACTAAACTTTTGATTATTAAAATGAAGTCAATATATTTTTTTATGGTTAAATATGACTCTACAACCCTACTACTGGGCACAGGTCTCCTCTCGCAAAGAGCGGATTTGGGCTGTAGTCCCCACGCGGGCCCAATACTCTTTGGGAACTTCACACACATCATTGTTTTGCAGATGTGTGCAGGTTTCCTCACGATGTTTTCCTTCACCGAAAACCTTATGGTAAATTTCAAATTAAATTTCATACATAAATTCCGAAAAACTCAGAGATGCAAGAGAATCCGCGACTCTGAGAGGTGGTCAAATCATTAGGCTACCTACCACAGCTGTGCACACTTTTGAAGGTACGAATTGGTAAACAATAGTCAACCTAATGGAAAGTGGTTACCCTTTAGGTTATAAATATATCTTAGACTAAAATATTGTGTCACCCTTACCTTGAGCTCTAATAACAAGGCGATAGCTCCTAACTTGCTCGTAATCCAGCGGCTTGACGAGAGATACATCCCCGCTGAGACTATCGATCGAGAATTGCATCTGGGTGTTGCCGCCGATTATTGCATACCGAATAGCTGCGTTTGCGTCTAAGTCCGCATCCGTTGCTCTAAAGGTATAAGTAACATCTTAAAACATTTGAATAATTAAAAATTATTTAAAAAAATATATATTCAGCGGTTATTTTGCGGAACAAAGTAAATTTAAAAAAAAGCGCAAATGAATTTACTTCCATTTTTTTTCTCATTATTAAATATAAAATTTAATTAATTTATTTATTCTTTGTGCTTTATACTTTATGATAGACATCTAGGGGATATTGGATAGTCTGCATGAACAATATTAGCAGTGGGAACAGAAATTTATGGAGTGGAAAATTCAAATCGCCAGACGGCACAGCGGGTGGTCTCGTAATGATAGGTGTAGTTTTAGGGCGGCGAGACACGACTGCTATTATTTTTATGGTGCTCCTTGGTAATATTGTCATTCGTGGAGAATGTGGATAGTATAATATAATGCATACATTGTCAGTCCCTCTCGTTAGATCATTGTAATTATAAAATGTAATAATTGTAGAGATAGTTGGATATTCAGACTAGGTTTTTCTTATTAAGTAAACTTATAAGTAAAAGAAAAAACCTTGTCAAGGTTTTATCTTTTTTAATTTATATTTTATTTGGTTTATTTATATTTTAGTAGCAGTAGAGTTAGTTCCTTGTTAAAGAGTTCGTCCAGGGAAGTACCTACTGCCACCTTACCCATTACTGCCGCCAAGCAGAAATGTGAGCATTACTGCGTTCCGGTTCGGAAGGGTAAGGATGCCGGTGAAATTACAGGCATATGGGACTTGTCAACTTCTGTCTCAGGGTGACGGGCACAGTGGCTGTGCCCCTAAGATCTTTGCGATTAAAAGCTTTGAGTGGCATTGCAACTGTTATGGATAGGCGTTTCGCTTACCACCAGGCGCACGACTTTTTTGTTCCATCACTTGGTATTATAAAATTTAAAAAAAAAAACCTTTTTTCATTGCGTTAAGATGATATTAGTGCAACTAAAAATTTGCTGTCCCCGCTGAAGATGAAGATTAATTTGATTACAGAAATAATCACTTACACTTGTTCAGAAAATTTACAAAAAGCTGAACTGCATCTTCAACACAGGAGACAACTATTTGGCCATAAAATCGTACTAAGTATATTAGTACTACTACTACATCAGTTTACATGACATAAGCGCTCCGTAGTCACTGAGTGTGTTAAATAATATAAAATTATCAAATTAAGGAAAAAAGCTCACTTGATCCTTGCAATAACGGGATTGTCAGCAACAGTAATATCCTCATCTATATTCACAGTGTAGGTCTTTTCGCTGAACTGAGGGTAGTTGTCATTGTCGTCCAAAATGTTTACGTAGACCGTTGCTCTAAAAAGAGACAAAGTATTATAATTTTAACGTCGGTTTGTTTGAAAAAACAAATATACGCGATTTAAATCCGGAAAAATAGTTTCATTTATATTATAATTTTTTGGCTGTTTTTTTTTGGTGAATAATAATTCATTATGTTTTTCATTATTTTCGTAGCAATCAAAGTAATTAAACACGATATGATAAAAGCTTCTAAAACTTTTAGAAAATTTCAAAACACACATTATTACGTTAATAACATATTCTGAAAAAAGTGTATTATCTACTAAACGTGCTCCAAGTATTGACGGCCTTCGGGGTATACTAGCTTGCATACCGGTTTTCATGGGATCGCCATCTCTGAGATTCCGGATTCTATCCCCGGCCTGGCCACTATAGAAAAACTAACTTTTCTATATTGTCTGGGCGTTTGTGGTATCGTCGTTTCTGATTTCCATAACACAAGTGCTTTTGTTACTTGCTTTGGTATCAGATAACGTAAGTGATGTTGTATAATATATGTATGTTGTGTGTTTCGAGTTCATAGGTTTTCGCGATTGTTACACAAAGGAAATGAAACTATTTTTCCAGATTTAAATCGCGTAAATATCATCGGTTGAGTCAATCGTGACCATTGGACCTGTAAAGGGCCCGAAACGTAGGTTTGTTTGAAAAAACAAACATTACCCGATTTAAATCCGCAAAAATAGTTTCATTTCCTATGTGTATATGTCGTTAAATTCAAACCAGTAAATGAAAGAAACAGAACGATACTTACGTGCTAGACAAACGATCAGAAACAGGGCTGGCCTGATCTGTGGCTTTAACAATTACAGTATACCGCGCAACTTTCTCTCTATCTAAAGGTGATCTGGTCAATAATGCTCCACTTCTGCCGTCTACTCGGAAAACCTCCTGAGTGTCGGGCTGTTCATTGTCTATTGAATCATTACTGTCGTCAACGCTTGCCTCTGCTGTTACTGATTCTATGGAATATTCAACCTACGGAGAAAAGGGTTTGACTATGTAATCAATAGTTTCAACAAGATTCTTACTTTCTGAGTTTTAATAAATCAAATGTCAGAAAGTGAGAATTTTGTTGAGGTGTTTCAAAGCCTAATGATCTACTTTGGAGTCCCAAGTCTACTTCCTTATGGTGAAGGGTAGTTGTGTGGAACTCACTTCAGCATTTTTGCCAAAATCCTGGTCTGTAGCTTTAAGGGTCAGCACGGTGGTGCCAGGGCTGGCCCCTTCCCGCACGGAAGCTTCGTACTGAGGCATCTCGAATACCGGTGCGTGGTCATTGCAGTCCAGCACATTGATCTGGAACGAGAAGATAAATTCGTAACATGGTCTGGTCGCTTTTTGATGTTTTAACATTGCAATTACTATTCAGTGAAAATGTTGGTATTTCTTAGTGCACTAGAGTTTTCACATAAGTATGTCACCTGTAATGTAGTAGTACCACTCCTGGGCGGGAAAGTGTCGTCCTGTGCCACAACTCTGAAATAATGCACATCAAGGCGTTCACGATCCAGCCTAGCTTGCGTGGTAATTACGCCAGTCCTGGAATCTACGGCGAACATCCCGGCCGAGCGAGAGTCTAGTAGACTTGACATGGAGTAGGTCACTGGGCTGTTTTCTGGATCCCTGTAAGAATAAATATATTCATGAATGATTGCTTAAATTACGGAAGTCATAAGGACCATAATATAGCGTTGCCAAAAAGGCGATTCTTATTTTTAGACGGCTACACTATACATATGGAAGTCATGGAAATTACTACAACATGCTTTAATACTTAAATAAAATCTTAACTTTAGGCATAAGCGGGACAATCAGTATAAATCCAGTACAATTAAGTTAAGCAAACATGTTTTTTTTGAGATTTTCTTGAGAAATAACAAAGGTGGAACACACAGAAAAATTTCGTCGATCCGATGTGACTTGAACCCACGTTCAGACTGCACCGTAGCATTGCTCTAACCATTAGCCACAGGTCCAGCCAGTTACCGAGGTATTGCCTGTGTTTTTATTATAGATCTTTGTATTGATTTATCGGCAACCGTCGCCGCTAGTGACACCTAGTGAGAGATTTTTGAATAACCTTCTCACCGCAGTCGATACCTTTACAGGATATCAGGATCATAACAACTGACGCATATGTCGCTTTTCGATCAATGTATTTTATTGAGAATTTTTTGTGAAATAACTCCACTAGTTTAGTTATGATTATGAATACAAACATGATTTGTTGTTGTTGTTGATACAAAGACGGAACAAACACAAATAAAATTCCTTCGATCCGGCGGATCGTTCCATAGCTCTGTTGGGAGATCGACGATAGCGCCAGCTCGGTCAGGTCGTCGGTTCGTGTCCAGCCGTATTTAAGCCGTTTGTTGATACAAAATCAATAATAACAACGAACTAGTGGAGTTTTTCAGAAAAAAATTATGAATATATTTTGTACTAACAGTACCTAATGGTTCATAAATAAAAACAGGAATGTCTATGGGGTTTATGAACCTGCAATTCGTCGTACCAACGTTGATGGCTTGCACGTGAGTTACCAAAGTATAGCTTGGATTACGGAAACGAAACGTACGTAATAAAGACAATATTTCTCAGATTACGCAGTAATAGTGCTTTTTTGAGTTGTTAGACGTCAGTAAATGCATTTATATTGCAAGTTCCAGAATAATGACGTACAGTTATCTTAGTGTTTGTTATTAAGTAGTATTCTGTAATAAAATTTAAAAATCGAACATTTATGGAATCTTGTGTACACTCCGATAGAATGAAATTATATTAAATTATGGCAACCTGTGGTACGTGGTTGATAAAGTTTCAAGTTTGACAATTAAGATTTAAATTTAACTCTCACGATACGATATTACGATACGAGCGGTCCAATTATGCAAAAAGTCAAGCCTGATGTGTTCTTGTTTAATAAAAGAAAAAAAAAAACGATTTGCAAGTTCGTGTAGTAGGCGATAGGTCTTAGGTAATTTGATTTATTAATTTGATTTAATTGACTATACATTTTTAAAGATAAAAAGTGTAAGCTTTTGAAAAATTGCCTTATGGTAATCTGTATTTCCACTAAGAAAAACCTGGGTTCTGTATTTATCAGATACAAAATCACTGATTATAAGCGTACCAATTCGCACGTCAACGAAAAGAAAGCCTGATTATTGTATTGTTCCGCCCCTGATACGATTAGCGATGAAAGAGACTTAGCGATTCGACTCCATTTTATAGGACTCGACTCTAAAATTAAGATTGGAGGTTCGAGATTTTATTAATAAGACTCAGTCGTTATACTACAAGACTTAAAAGACTTATACAACTTAAACGACTTGAACGACTTAAACGACTCGAGTTGTTTGCAATGGACTTATACCTATTTTATGTCTTATTAAACCCGAAGTTTATAAATAAAAATGACGTAGTATGTACTAAATAATCACGTTTATGTACTAATCATAAAAATTAGGGTTTAAAGAGTGATTAAGCAATAGGTACGAGATTTCAAGACCTGATTATGTAATGATTGCATACAATGCTTTTTCTGCGGGTAAATTAAAATACTAAAATATAACCAATATTTAAGTCTATGGAAATCCAGTTCTAACGTGCTGTTTTTTTTATTTTGTGTAATATTGGTCTGTAACCGCTTTTCTTATTATGAAGTCCGGGGTACTTTTGTTTAAACTTCTTTAGAAACCCGTGCACAGTAGTGAGATACAATCTATCTGTAATATATAGAACAAATATATACGTAATAATCTCGCCTGTCATCCATTCAGGGGTAGGCAGAGAATGTGGACCTCCACTTAATACGTTCATAAATAGTATGTTTCATTCATCATTATGGTCAAACGACAGTACCAGACACTAAAATTTGATAAAATACTTTGACTGTTGGGTTCTGTATCCATTCATTTTTATATTAAAGAACAAATGATTCCTAACTGTCTTCTATGAATAAAGAATGCTACGTTAACATTATCCATCAATCGTGAAATAAATATCTTGTGGATAGAAATAAAATCACGCCATACGGCTCAGTGCATGCAGTTGAGTTTCGACTGCATGCAGTTAATGCGTGAAGTCGCGATCAACTTCATGTAGTCGAGGTCTCGGATGAAGTTGAATACTGCTTCACGCACACGGTAAAAACAGCTTACTTAGAAAAAGACAAAAATTTTTTATGAAGACAAATTTATTAAATCCAACAAAACGATCCTCTCCCTATAGACGCTAGAGAATAATTACTTGATAATAGTAAAAAAACGCCCCAAAAGTGTATTTTAGTTATAAGCAGAGGTCGGAATTAGGTAGAGTTATTTACGTACTTACACTGGTTCCATGTTACGAAAGAATAAAGTGGATATGCCTCAAATCCCAAGATTAATTTTGAAGAGATTTATTTAATAAAGAAGGTATTCTCTCTTACCCCATTATAACCACTGCACGCGTGACGCCGACGTTGCCAAACTTACATCAACGATATTGAATGTCCGTAGTTGCAAAATTCCAATAGAAATGTGGCAACGTCGCGCGTGTGCGCACACAACATGGCTTAAGAAAACAAAAGAAAACAATAAAGGAAATGCGGAGCACTCCCCGTTCAACGAAATGTACTAGATTTTGTCTCTTTCTAAGCTTTTAAGCTTTTTATTTAAAAAAGTCGGTTGACTCATTCACAGAGCTCATTCACTTACCTCGGTTCGTAGAATGCGCTCGTTTGTTTACTCCTGTGTTTTGTGTGGTGAATTTTGTTTGACCCTGGCTTGTTATTCGGATTCTGGACTTCTACTAATACGACTATTTTGGCACCCATTAACGGACTTTGATTTGACCTTACCGTATTGGATGATTGGGTATTTGAAGTTGTTGATATACTTGGTAAGTTTCTTGGTAATATTTTTATTTCATTTATATTAGATTTTCCCAATGTAGATTGTTTCTTGTATTGTTATGTAAATCGGTATTGTTTTACTTAAGAGGTCCTTTGATACAATCACAATAAAGTAGCACTGATTTTAAATGCTACTGAAGAAGCTTAACGTTACTCAGGTTCACGCCCAAATTAGCTTCTTTTAACAAAGACCGAGTGAAAAAGGGTGTAAAGTGAATTATTAAATATTCACGGTGTTTTTCTAGATTTCTTGCGCTTACTAAGCAATAGATATATACTTCAAATATATAAATAATGTGTATTACTATAGTTGCTTTAACAGTGAATCTATACATAGTTCACTTCCCACCATCTATGCTCATCAACTTATTTGCCCTATCCCATACTTACAAACACCCTCAAATGGTTATCTAAGAATTTCTTTAACTTATTTGCGCTATCTTATACTTACAAACACCCTCAAATGGTTTTCTAAGAAACTCTTTTTTTGCTCCAGATTAATACTTTGATTAAAAGTATTACTATGGCGCAGAGTTCAATCAAAGAGGCTACCGTCAACAAATGGATCGAAAATAATCCGGAGCTTCTTTATGACCATGCAAGTGGATTAATTTACTGCTCTAAATGTGAAGCACATTTGAGAGCAACTCGCCGAAGTAACGTAAAAAGACATCTAGAAGGAGCAGTACATAAAGGCACGAAGAAAGAACACCATACCCCTTTAGAATTTTACTTCGACTTAATCGAATTTTTGATTCTTTGTAACATATCATGGTCCCAACTGTCCAACAATGCATTTAAATCATTCTTTGAAAAATACATGTGTTGCAATTGCAAAAATATTAAACTTCCTAGTGAATCCTTACTGAGAAAAGTGTACCTGGATCAGCTTTTTAAAATCAGAGTCCAAGAGATGCAAAGTAAGATTGCAGATAAAAAACTATGGCTTTCCGTAGACGAAACTGTGGATTACCTAGGAAGAGCTGTCGTAAATTTGTTGGTGAGACCATTAGAATCTAGTGGGTGCCAACGGCCGTACTTATTGGCATGTAAAATGATAGATACTGTAAATGGAACAACTATATCACAGTTTGTTCAAGATTCTTTGAAAAATATGTGGGGAAGTTCATTTGAGAGCAAAGTAGATAATGTCAGAATGTTATGTACAGACAGTGTGGTATACATGATATCAGCAGGTAGAATGTTAAAATCAACTTTTCCAAAAATGTTGCATTTCACATGTTTAGCCCATGCTCTAAATCTTGTTGCAGGGCAGATTAGAAAGGAGAACCCTACTGTTGACAGTTTAATTTCAAATTTGAAAAAAGTTTTTTTGAAGTCACCAAAAAGAATTAAAATTTTTAAAGAAATTTGTCCGCATTTATCTTTACCTCCTGCACCTGTAATTACTAGATGGGGTACTTGGCTTCATGCAGCATTTTATTACGCTAAGCATTTTCATGAAATTAAGTCTGTATTGTCTGTGCTGAATAGTCAGGAGGCAAAGTCAATAGAAAATGCTTTACACATTTTTAATAATAATGACAACATAGAAGATGATTTAAATCGCATTTACGAAAATTTTGCAATAATACCAACAGCTTTGACAGCACTTCAGAAACCCGATCTTTCTCTAATGGAATCTTTTCAAATATTCGATACAGTAAGATTACATTTGAGATGGGCAAATTGCGAGAGCTTAGAAGATAAAATGGAAAAAATCATG